CCATGTGATTTGGGCCATTCCCAACCCCCATCCAAAGCCTTCAGTATTCCTCTCACACTCACCAATGGTAATGGATGGTAGTACTGGCTTTTAGAGGAAAGCCTGGGGTTTGACTCAGCCTCACCTCTCCAGGTGATTTGGAGATAAGGTGTTTACAGGAAAGATCAAGCTCAACTGAGATCAATTAGGTAGGCCTTGATCTGGGTGGCTAGTGTCCTTATCAAAAGGGGAAATGTGTGCAGAAAGGGAAGGTGGCCACCTCCAAGACAAAGAGAGGGGACTGAAACAGAGCAGTTCTTTTCCTTGAAAGCCTTCGAGGGGCCCAGATGGCAGCCTAATGACAGCCCGCTAGCCTCCAGGCCTATGGGTCCTGATTTTCTGTTGTTGCTGTACCATACACAGGTAGTATGCTGTTACTGCAGTCACAGTAACAAACCCAAGTGACCCCCATGCCCTAGTCTCTTGCCCGGTACTTGGGGACAGTAGCATCTACCCTCCTGGGTTGTTCTAGGATTCTGATGGGAAGGCATGTATGAGGCACTTAGCATGGCTTTTGACATATAGTAAGCACTCAATAATAGCAGGGGCTATTAGTTCTGTGATGTGACCTCTTGGCTCTATCAGCAGAGCTTGCAGAAGGCAGGCGACCAGGACAGGGCCAGAAAGCCCCAATTGAGACTTTTCCCCGGGAACTGGGTCACCTTATGCACCCCTTCAAAAGCCTCTAAATGCAGAGAAGGCCAAGAATGTCCCATTAGCGGAGCGCCTAATGGTTTCTAGCTGGAGAGTGGTCTTGGGCCTAATTGACAAGACTACGGGGCTGAGGTTCTTTATTTTTGTATGCTGGCTGTGCTCTGAGTATGTTGAGCTGCTATGGGGATCAGTAGGTGCAGCCACCATGGGCATTGATGGGCATTTTGTGAAGGAGGTAGTGTGGTTGCCAAGGAAGGATGCTCCCCGATGACCGTGAGCCTCCGTTTGCACATCTGCAAAGTGAGGGCAGCAGAGCAGCCGGCTGCAGAGCATCTCAGATGTGTGAAGACCTCAGGGCTGTGTGTGAATTCTCTATGCAGACATGTGTTGGGAAGAATCTCCATGGTACTTCTCTTTCCTTTTGGCAGTACTGGGGACCGAACCTAGAGCTTTATACATGCTAACAGCAGATGCCAAGCCACTATGCCACACACCCTAGTCCTTCTACCTCCCGGGTCATCTACCGCCCGGACCCACCTTTCGGGACTGCTGACTCCTGTCTGAACTGGGGCTCTAGACGTCGTTTCTAGGGCTGTTTCTAAAAAGCAGATGCTATGGAGGTAGTGTCTCTGAGTTACTGGGTAAGAGAGACCAAGGACATAGCAGAAGAGCCAACTGCTGAATCAGCAGACCCTGCTCTCTCACACCCTTCTGCCTCAGCTTCGGGAATTCCTTCCTGCTCTGCAGGCCCTAGGTGATGGCTCTCCAGCTTGCCACCTCCTGTCTCCTGGATGCCTCCAACAGCCTAATGTAATACTGTTGCTGCCTTGGCCCTACCCACTCCACACTCAGAGTAAAACTCAAATCTCCTGCAATCCCACCTGATCCTTCCACCTGATCCGGCTTCCACCTGCCTTGCCATCCGCTGCCTGCCATCCCCCAGCTCCTGTCAATCAGCTGCAGTCTGCTGACCTCAGCACCTCCGCGGCTCCATGTTAGCATGTCCCAGGCTCATCCTCAGGGACATCTTCGCCCTGACTTATGCCTCTGCCTGAAAAAGCTCCACCTGGCTTCTGTCTGCTCCATTAGGAAGCCTTATCTGCCCCCACCTCACCCCCTCCATCTGTAACAGTCAGTTCCCATGTTCCAAATGACCCAGCAACTCCAGACCTAATATAAACCCCGGAGTAATAAAGACGTATGTCCACGGAGAGACTTATACGCAACTATTCTAGGCATAACAACGGCAGCGCCAACTGACCAGCCACAAATGCTAAAGCCATCTGCATTGCCACAGACTGGGTGCAAAGGGAACAGAAGCGCTGAGGCGTGAGAACCCATCCTTAGTGATAGCAGCTGGGTAACTCAGAGCGCTGGCTTCCTCCAGGGATTCAGAGTTAGGGCATCATGTCCCCCGCCTCAGACTCCCAGCTAGGCCCAGAAGCTAGCTGGCATCATCACAGTTCACACAGTGGTCCTTCTTATTCTTGAAGTTTGTATTCGAGGTCCCAGACTACACCAGACCCTGACTACTGTAGGGTTGTTTCTTTCTTTCTTTCTTTCTTTCTTTCTTTCTTTCTTTCTTTCTTTCTTTCTTTCTTTCTTTCTTTCTTTCTTTCTTCTATGCGTATGTACAAAATGCGAAGCCCTTTCCGCCATCGCTAAGCCCTCACTCTCTGATGTGACCCTAGCTGTAAACATTTGAGGTGTGATAGCAAACCCAGCCTGGCTTTCTTCTACCCCCCCCCCCAAATTCTTAGATTGTGTCTTAGATCCTAACCCACCTGTCACAGGACTCCTCCCTGATCCTAACCCACCTGTCACAGGACTCTTCTCTTCCCTGATCCTAACCCACCTGTCACAGGACTCTTCCCTGATCCTAACCCACCTGTCACAGGACTCTTCCCTGATTAGAGCACCGCTTGCTTGTCTTCCCCCCACGAGAAGTGCTTCATGGCTCCACGTTAGCACCCTGTGACAGCGCCATTGCTGCTCTTGGACTGTGGGCGCATTTGCTGTGAGATGAGTGGTAACTGAACACAGCACTGCCACGCCCCAGCAGTCTGTCTGGTAGTGAGGATGGCTCCGGAGACACTAACGGGAGGGTAGTGTACACCCTGTGGATACACTGGACACACGGAGGACTCAGAGACTGGGCCTGGCTACTTAAGATTTCATCATGCTACTTAGAATGGTGCCTAGCTGAAAACTCAGGAATCGCTTACTTCTGGAGTTTTCTGTGCTGATAAGAGGTGATGGCTCTAATCATATCTTTTGTGTGATTTGCCTAATACCATGCCTCCCTCAGCCCCCGGGGGTCCACCTCTCAGAGGACTGTGGTCGATTTTGTCTGCCCCACCCCTGGCTGTTGCATATTCTCCAGTATGTGTTTCTGAGTAACTCACAGCTCAATGCGTAGGGCTGCTGGATATATGCGTATTGGAGAAGACGGAGAGCAGGGATGGTGGGGACATGTCTCTGGAGTGCATTTGCTGGCACAGAGCTGCTGGGCCTGAGACTCAGCCGGGAATGGTTGGCTCCCATGCTGCCCACATAGGCAGGATTTTTGCAAAATGCCAATTAAGATGTTTGACCCAAATTTGGGTAAAAGCCCTTTTCCTGTTTCAAGTTGAACTAATTATATACATTTATTCATAATTTATGAGGCCTCTTAAGTGGGAACAATTAGGAAAAGGCCAGGAAAAAGCCTATTTTTCTTAAGTGTCGTGTTCGCCTTTCTTTTCTTTCTTTCTTTTCTTCCTTCCTTCCTTCCTTCCTGTCTTTTTTTTTTTCCTGTTCCCTGAAGCCGATGCCACCCATCTGCCATAGAACACTACTGTTTTTATTATGGTCATTGTCTTTCTCTGAGGTCACCACCCTTAGGTGACATTTATTGAGTGCTTACTGGACAGGACACCACCACAATTGCTCAAGTTTGTGAGACAGGTGGGTTCCAGAGGGTCACGAGCATGACCTTCCCTAACAGGCTCGTGGCTGATGAGTAGAAATGTAGACTCCGGATAGCCAGGCCTCAACTGCCTTCCTTAAATCTGTGCTATCCCTCGAAAGTGCTGTCCTCCTGCCCCGAGGGTTTCTGAATCTTCAGGGCAGTCCCATAATTGATGATGGGTGACCTTAGGTACCAGTGAGAAAGTTGGCAGCTTGTGACTCAGCAGAGGTAGAGGGTCTGCATTGATAGAAAATTCCCAGGATGGGGCTGGAGAGATGGCCCAGCAGTTAGGAGCAGTGACTGCTCTTCCAGAGGACCCCCTTTCAATTCCCAACACCCACATGGCAACTCACAACTGTCTGTAACTCCTGTTCCAGGGCAAGCAATGTCTTCATACAGACATACCTGTGGCCCAAACACCAATGTACATAAAATAAAAATAAATAAATGATTTTAGAGAAGAAAATAAAATCCCTAGGAGACGAGGATGTAGCTGGCCCTGGTCCTTTGAGAGCCATTGGTCATGATGGTGTTACTACCAGAGCCCCCAAACTTCCTCCCACCCTCACCTTGATGCAGGTGGGTGAGGGGCTCTGTAGACCTCTTCCTGTGAGCCTCCATGGATGTTATTCTACCCGGGGAAAGCTTGCAGCTTGATTGCCATTTCCTCCCTGTGCATGTGGATTGCCTGCTGCGTGAGTTTGCTCTGAAACTTAGGTTTTTCTCTGGCACAACTTCAAGGCAATCCCTAGATCTGCCTTATTCTTTTCAACAGGTTCTGTGATATTCTGTAACAGAGGCGTGTAACAAACAGTTTTATTTCCAACTTACCATCTGGGTGGTCTTCCATACATCCTACATTATAAATAATCCCCCAGTGTGCCTGTGGGCTTAGGTGTTTCCCAAGAGTTTGGGAATCACTCAGTGTCAGACGTTATTATTATCTCCTCATTCTGTTCTGTGATTATTTTAAAAAGGACTTTAGCTATGAGGCATTACTTTCCTGGTGAGGGGCACTTATATAAAATGGTAACAGTTTACAGACTCTAATGAAGTTTTCAATGAAGCAGTCATAGTAAGAAGAAAGACACCCCGTGTGGGCAGGGCTTTGAGGGATGTGTAGGAGTACAAAGAGAAAGGAAAGAGGGCAGGGGGGGCTTTGTGCTGCAGGGCCCAGCTTATCCTCCAGTAGCCTCCGCAGTTTTAAGGAATGGGGCAGATCTTTGCATTTATTGGTTATTTGGCCAGTTTGGGTTTTGGTAGAGGGTCCAGATCTACAGATTTATGAATGAGCGGGTTCCTGGCTGAATGTGGTCACACTCAGCTCTGATCACCTCTTTCCTTCCTGTCTCCTCAGGGTGGGGAATCCGGGGAGGAACAGTTGTGTGCTGACTTGCCAGAGCTCGACCTCTCCCAGCTGGACACCAGTGACTTTGACTCAGCCGAGTACTTTGGGGAACTGCAGTGGTGCCCGGAGACCTCAGAGACAGAGTCCAGCCAGTACAGCCCTGATGACTCCGAGCTCTTCCAGGTGGGCCCCACCTCTCCCCACTGCTATGTGTCCTCTGCTCTGTTCCTCACGTTCTGTACTTGGCCAGCATCCGCCCACCCATGAAGATCCTTGGGATCCCGTTTCCCCCTCTGGATCTACATCTGGCTTAGGACAACTCTAGCCCCCCCTTGCCTGGCCTGCTTTGCCACCTGCAGTAAGTAGGGTCTGGAAACAAGCTGTCCCCTCTGTGCTTTGCAGGCGCAGGTAGAAGCAAGCCCCTTTGGGGTATTGAGTCCTTTGTGCCCACTCCCTATCTCACTGAATCCTCACCTCCTTCCCTGCGAGGCAGCTGCCATTACTTCCTGACTTTGTAAATGGAGAAGCTGAGGCTTTGAGATGTTGGGCAAGTCACTTCCTCAGTAGCTGGACTAGACTCAGACTCTGAGCCAGGCATCCTGATTCATGCTTGGAAATCCCAGCACTGGGAAGACTGAGATAGGAGGGTGGCCATGAGTTTGAAGCCAGCCTGGTCTTCCTTCCATGAGCGAATTCTTCTTATCTGGAAAAAACAAAAGCCAGGATCTGGGTGGGTGGTCCAGCAGTCAAGAGCACTTGCTGCCCTTCCAGAGGACTCAAGTTTAGTTTTCTTCACTCAACAACCACTTGTAACTCTAGCTCTGGGGGAAGCGACGCCCTCTGCTGGCTTTTACACACACACACACACACACACACACACACACACACACACACACACACACCACAAACATAAATAAGTTATATAAAAAATCTTCCAGCACTCAGGGGGCAGAGGCAGGAGGATCTCTGTGAATTCAAGGCCAGTCTAGTTTACAGAGCCCTGTCTTGAGAAACCAATATAAATAAATAAATCTTGATGACAATGTCAGCAATACAAATTCTGTCTGCCTCCTGAGCCTGAACTTTGTGATCAGGACTCTGGGATGGAGCTTGGGGTACTGAGCATCTCTGCGGTACTGTTTCTGCCTGTGTGTGATGCCTTGCTCTGTTCTCTCAGCAACTCTTACCAGAAAGAACACCCAGGGGTTCAACAAAACCAGCCATCCTGCAGAATACTTTCAGCCTCAGTGGCTGGGGCACCCAACCCCCAGCACATAATGGCTCATATTTAAGAAGGTCTCTTCAATAGACTAAATAGCATGAGATGTCTGGGGTGTTCTTCAGGATAAAGCAAGTTCTTCAGGGGGCTAGAGCAATGGCTCAGTGGTTAAAGGCACTGGCTGTTCTTCCAGAGGTCCCAGGTTCAATTTCCGTCACCCATATGGCAGCTCACAACTGTCTATAGCACCAGTTCCTGGGAGTCCGAGACACACACACACACACACACACAGAGGCAAAACACCAATGTACTTAAAATAAATCATTAAAAAAAAACAAGTTCTACAGACTTTTGCTTGTGTGTGTTATGTGTGTTAGGGTGGGGAGTGCACTGCACGGATGGCCCCAGAGAAATGAGACTCGCTGTGTTGAAGCGGGGTGATTGAGCCTTCAGATCTACTGTTCTTTTCCCCTCGTCATCTTTCCCATACAGGCAAGAGCCTAGGCTCAGTGAGCCACTGTGGAGGTCCGGCAGCACTGTCCCATGTGCACGCAGGGCTTGTAAGTCATTGTGCATCTCAGATAGTCCTGCAGACTTGTCTGTCCTTCCAGAGCAGCCTGTCAAGCTCCCTGTGTGTCGGGAGCTGAGGTATCAGTAGACTCAAAGTCTGGAAGGGGAGATGTCCCTAGATTAGCAAACACAGAACTGGCAGCTGGGATGGCCAGGGCGCAGGGCAGAGAATGGCTGGAGGCTGGTGTCAGGAAAAGGCCTCTTGTATTTAGCTGGGGGAAGGGGAAGGACAGAAACAGTGGTCCTGGAGCAGTCTCTCGGAGCTTGCAGCACTGGGAAGAAAGTATAGGTAGTCGGGACGTCACCATGGAGTCTTGTGCATAATAGGGATTTTCCTTGAGGTTATTCTAACCTACAAATTGCATAAATTGATCACTCATTTTATAGGTGGGGAAAACAAAGGTCTGAGAGCTGAAGCGACTGGCTGAACTCACCCAACTAGGAAGGATCAGGACAGAGGTTCTAGCTCAGGAACCCATAACCTGCGTTTCTATGTGGAACCCTTTTGCCAATCCTATAAGAGTTGGACCCTGGCTGGCTCTATCTGGGATCTCTGACTCTGTGTGTGTGTGTGTGTGTGTGTGTGTGTGTGCGCGCGCGTGCGCATGCGTGAGCATGCACATGTGTGCATGTACATGCATGTGGAGGCCAGAGGACAACCTCTGTGTCTGTGTTTGTTTTTGAAACAGGGTCTCACCATGTAATAGTGGCAGAGATTCATCTGCTCTGTCTTAAGAGGGCTGGCATTAAAGCCACACCTTACTAAGCTCGACACATCTTGCTTTTGGAGACAGACACTGTCACTGGCCTAGAATTCACCTGTTTCCACTACCCTAACCCTGGACTAGCAAGTACATGTTGCCACTCTTGCTTCTTTTGTTTTGTTTTTTGTTTTTGTTTGTTTTTTAAACGTGGGTTCTGAGCCTTGAACTCAGTCTGCTTGCTCACAAGACAAATGCTTTACCAACTGTCTCATCAGCCCTCTCCATTAAATAAACTAAAAAACAAAACAAAACTTAAACATAGTGCCAAAACAATGTTTCTCCCTCTCCCTTAGGGGCTACTTTCTCAAAAAGGCTTTCAGATTGCAGAGAGCTGATGTACCAGGGAGGTCAGAGTGCTGCAGGGGCCCAAGTACTACTTCTCCTAGCCAGAGCCTCTGCCCGCCTCTGGAGAAGTCATGGTGAAATGGGCTCAGAGCTGAATGAGCCTGCAGAGGCTCGCAGCTCAGTGAGCAGTGGGCTGAGCTCTTACACCAGTACCTCTCCCCATCATACCCATTTCCCCCAGACCAGGCCATTACACACAAACACCCCTGCTGTACAGGTGATGACAGTCCAGGCCATTACACACAAATACCCCTGCTGTACAGGTGATGACAGACCAGGCCATTACACACAAATACTCCTGCTGTACAGGTGATGATGTGACTAGACTGTCGCCATCATTTTCTGTGTGGCATCCCTCCACCCTCTCCCCTTCATATCCACTCCCCCCAATCAGGCTGTTACACACAAATACACCTATTATACAGGTGATGATTAGTTTGTCACTATCATCGTCTCTGTGGCATAATCCCTCTACCCCTCCATGACCTCTGGGACTGTGTCCTCAGTTTGCGAATTGTATGCCAGGACTTCACCCTGTCTGTGTCTAGCATTGTGTCCAGCCCTAATAAACAGTCACCACATAAATACAGCCACGGGTCACTCCTCCTGGGGCATTTGGCTAGTTTTGCTCACGAACAACCATCTTCTGTCTGTCCTCTCCCTGAAGACATCAGTTTGCTCACTTCTGAAGCCTTTGCACATGGTAAGGGTTCAATCAGCAGGTGTGATGACCTCTTCCCAGGCCGTGAGCTGAGACCCAGGGTCCACTGGTTCTGATCCTCTTTCTGCCATTAACCCAGACAGTTTCCTCCCACCGGGGGAAGGGCACGTGCAGCATGATGCTGTACCAGTGCCTGTTCTGACAATCTAATGGCACTGTTGCTACAGGAAACAAACTAAGAGAGAGGAGAGCAAACTATAGTTGTAAGGGTTTGACAAGATTTGGGGACATGGGCATTGCTTTCCATTTTCTGTATGTCCCAAAGTCTTGGGGCCAGGGTATGACAGGCACTTAGTTAATGTTCTAGAGCAAGCAGATGTTTGACGATTTCACGATACGCGGCCTTGGCAAGGTCCCTTTTCCAGGGCCTCAGTTTCCCCGTGTGAGCAATGAAGAAGGAACAGGGACCGTCTCACTGTTTCTTGGTGTTAAGGATAGAGGAAGTCACCAGTCCTTAAAGATTCTGGGACTTCATGGACGCTCTTAGAAGAAGGGCGTGCTGGGCTGTGGGTGACTTCCTCGGTGTCTCCTAACGCATGGAGACCCCTTGCACAGGCAAGGATCTCTGTGTGCTCCCCTGGCCCTCAGTGCTGCCACTGCTTCCAGGCACTCCAGTCCCCAAATGGAGTATTTCACTAAGGCTTCTGCAAAGGCTCCTTTTCCTCCAGCCCGAGATGAGCCGGGGAAAGCTGGGGGCGGGGCAAGTCTATTAATATCCCTTTCTCAGCTGATTAACTCTCCATTAATTTTCACTCCATTTCTAAGCTGAGCAGGGGGAGCAAGCTAATGGGCCCAGGCAGGATGAGGTGGCCAGCTCCAATGATATCCAAAGGCAGTAGGATATCCAATGATATCCTACAGGGCAGCCAGGGGGCCTGGAAGGAGCCATGGCAGTGTGGGTGAGGCGGCCCTTCACCTAGCCCCACCCATCCATCCCAGAGCCAGGCAGCTCAGGGAGAGGGGGTGAAGAACTTGTCTTTTGTTAGTCCTTGTGGCTTGCATCTCCACCCCCCATGCCTGTGCTCTGTAAGTTAGGGTTCTCTCATCCTTGGCCCTGCCCTGGCTTGCTATGTGGCTTTGGCGGGTCTTTGTTCTGGGGCTTCAGCCCATCTGTGGAAAGGATGGCGGGTAGGCGCCCCAAGGAACACCAGCTGTGACTGCTTGAGGTTGTTGCCTAGAGCCCTCCTGTGTCACCAGGACTCTGGCATGAAGTCATCCATGGTGCAGATGAGCGGGAACACACACACACACACACACACACACACACACACACACACACACACACACACACACACACACACACACACCACTTGTTTGACACCCCCTGGCCACTGGATGATCCTAAAAACCCTTACAGTTCTGTTAAGTGTGATAATTTATGGCACCCTGGGAATTGTCTTTCCATCCAGCACTGGTGATGGCATTCTGAGTGACTTCTCTAGAACCTGAGAAACTGAAGTCAGCCAGTCTCCCCATCTGTTTCCCTCATTCAGCAATTTTGCTGCTTCCCACACCCCTGGCTCGGAGCTAGGAGAGGCCCTGGGTTATGTCCCCCCTTTGTGAAAGTTCAGTGAAGGGAAGCACCGTGTTTGGGGCCACCTGGTGGCAGAGCTCTGTGTGGTCACCCTCCAAATATCACTGGGTCCAAGTTCCAGATTCTTCATTGCCCATCAAGGTAGCAAGGTGTTCTGAACATAGAGCCTAGGCAGTCATGCCTGAGGATTGGGGGAGTCTTGGGGGCGGGGGCAGCCGCTTGAGTCTCATAGCTTCCTAGACCCAGAGTCCACAGAGCCCTGGCTCAGACCCACTAACCACTTCTTTTTTTTTATTCTTAGCTCTGTTCTAAAAATTACAAACACATTTATTCTCCTCTCCCCAAGTCCCCGTTTGAGTTACTCAGCTGACTGTAAGGTTACAGCCTGGAACAGATTTAGTGCAGTCAAAGGGCCATCACGAGATGTGTATTTCAGATGAACTTCCTGAAGGAAGGATAAACAGCTGGACCCAGGATGGGAAAGTGTGCCTTGGAAGGGAACATGTGACAGCCTGTGCTTCTGCCAGCACAGACCTAGGGAATCAGGGTTTCTGACTGGGGCGCTTGGCCTAGTCTAGAAGCAATGTGGTGTGTGTCCCCAACCTCAAGCTTGGGACCTGGGCCTAGGCACCTCAGGGGTTGGAGACAGCAGGGAAGGCGGGGCTCTGGTTCATTTGTTCACAGGTGCATGGTCCAAACTCTGGCTCTGCCTGATGCTTGCTGGATGGCCAGTCTTCTCTGCAAAATGGAGACTAGAAGCATGTTCCCTTCATGCGGGTATTGTGTGAACACCTAGGTGCTATCGACAGAGCTTTCCAAGCCCTCTCATGCCTAGGCCTTTACCCTAGGTTGCTCCTTAGCCTGAGCCTTGTTTTCTCAGCCTTTTGCTTAGCTACTGAAGTTTAAGTGTCAGCTGCTCAGAGAAGATTCGTGGGCACTCTAGGCAGCCTGCAATCTTCTTAGTTTTTTGTTTGTTTGTTTGTTTCTATCCCAGCTTCCTCTGGCTTCCTCCAGCCTCCCTCTAGCTCTGAGGTCTACTCCCTTGTTCTCTTGTCTGGCTCCACTCATCACCAAAAGCCAGGCTCCAGGAGGGCAGGGGTATGGTAGTCATGGTGTGCTGATGACCAGAGTCCAACACAAAGTCAGATGTCTGGAATATCTGTTTAATAATGCCAGGAACTGCTTTCTAAGCACCTAACTTGCAACCCTACCCCCTATCCTCAACAAGAACTCCTTCAAGTAAGTCGTATTTGGCATCCACCGGGCAGGTGAGGACTAACTCACCTAAGAACCCACAGTTAGTAAGTGTGGTCTCTGTGAGTCGGGAGCTCCAAAAGCCCAGCACCCACCACCTCCTCCTGAGGGAGCAAGAGAACAAGTCCCAGGATCCCATCGAAAGCCCAAGCCAGTTTCCATTGTTCTAATTATGACTGCCACAGTTGAACTCTGGGGTATCCAGTCTACCCTCTCTGGACCTCATGGTTCAAGGGGCTGGGACCCTGCTCCCAAAGATGGAGAGGGGCTTGAGCCTCTGATAGAAGAGGAAAGTGCTTTCAGGTAGGCTGCCTTCTGTCCAGGTACAGCTCAATGAGCAGCAGAGCCAGGACTAGGACTCCAGGCAAGGCCCTTCCCATAGCCTGCTTATCAAATTCTGTGGTTCTTGGGAGTTGGCAATCTGTTTTTCGGACCATGTGATGTTTCGGGAACATGGAACAGACCTGTTGGGGGATAAGGGGCAGGGATGGGGGTGGCAAGAGGATAGTGGTGGTTCATCGGGGTACGCAGAGCAGGTTTCCTTTGTGCAGACAGCCAGGTCCCCCCACAGTGACTAACCCTCCCTTCTCTCTTCTTTGTCTCTTCTATCCAGATTGACATTGAGAATGAAGCTCTCTTGGCTGCACTCACCAAGACCCTGGATGACATCCCTGAAGATGATGTGGGGCTGGCTGCCTTCCCGGGGCTGGATGAAGGAGACACACCATCCTGTGGCCAGGCTTCACCTGCCCCCTTATCTGCGCCCCCCAGCCCCGCCCTGGAGAGGCTTCTGTCCCCAGTGTCTGAAGTGGATGAGCTTTCACTGGTGAGGGCTGTGACCTGGTATCACACAGTAGGACGGTGAGGGCAGAGCTGTCAGTTCCTGCTCAGTCCGGGGCATGGTTTCTGTGGAGAGCCTGGGGTGCCAGGCCTCGTTGGGCCTTTACCCTTCCTGCCTGGCCAGTGGTATTAAGCTTGGTTCTATTTCTGTATTAAACCTTCCACGACGATAACACACGTAGGATAAAAACCCAAGCAGGAAACAGAAAGGTGGACGGTTAAAAGCAAAGCCTTCCTAACCTTCTCACAATTGCCTTTTCCTTCCCCAGAGGTAACCATGGTTACAGATCTGTTACATGACTTTCCTCCTCACCTATTTTTTTTTCAAACTACAAAACCAACAGAGCCTGCATTATAGACTCTGCTGCACCTTGCTTGCTCAAAGCGGTGTGTCCTGGAAACCCTTCAGATGGGTGTGTGGCTTGGTAATTACTTCCAGGTAAGGATGTGCCGTCATTTAACCGTCCCCCTGCTGATGGACATCCGTTGCTGCCACACACAGTTACAGTCATTGGTAGCTGCATGTGAGTAGAAAAATTCTAGAAAGGCAAATTCTGGGTCTGTGAATTTTTCAGTTCAAATAGATCCTTGTAGCTTATGCTTCAAAGAGATTGGGCCAGTTTTCGCACTAACGAGTGTATGTTAAATACGTTCTGTATGAGTGTGTGTAGGGTGTATGTGGAAATGTGGGCAGTAGATACCAACTCGGACTGGCCTGGCAGGGGTCTGGACCTCCCAACTTACTAAGGATTCTGCCCTGGACTCTGACTGAGGAGGACACCAATGCCCAGGCATGTGGTCAGCCTTGTGCAGATACAGGGTTTCTCCTTTTCTTTGGAGCTGAAGCTTCTGTGGTTGCTGAGACCCAGCTGGGGATCAGAGCTGAGAGGGTTCTTAGATCCTGGAAAGGCCCTCCGTGAGCTTTGAGTTCTGCTCTGGGGGAAGTAAGGCCTACGGGAGGAGTCGCATGGTAAATTGGTGTGCCAGCCAAGTTAGACCCCATGTGTACTGACTTGTGTATTGGGACCCTGTGCCTTCTCTTCTGCTGCCTTTGAGGGCCCACAGCACTGGGGAGACATTTACCAAGTATCTTCTGGGTTTCACCAGAGGTTGTGTTCTATCTCACATTATGGCTCCCTCTTGTGGGGTCCTGCGTCCTTCCGTACTGGAAGAGGCCACTTAAAGATTTGAATTTCAGCCCTGCCAATGAAAGCTTGTGGGTCCTTAGGCACACACCCTCCCTTAGCCTCCAGTGACTCAGCTTTCTGATCCATGGGAGTAGATAAAAGGCCCAGGTCAAAGGCTGTCAGGAGAATTACAGTGGGTAATGCCTGGGGAACGTTTGGAACAGTGCTTAGCACAGGCCCACCTAAGACTCTGACTGACTCAGAGCCCTGACTAGGCCATCAGCAGTTCAAATTCTCAGTGATATTTTTGTACCAGACCACTGCAGGAAGCCTTGTCAAGGAAAAGAGCAACCTCTGCTGGTCAGAGGTTGTCCGTGTCCCGAAGCCTTCGATTCTGCCTACACTGTACGTTGGTGGCCTGAGTGATTCTGCTTTCCCCACACTGGGTTAGGCTTACGGAAAGTAAACTAAATATCAAGTCTCCCAAGCATATTGATGGTTCTAGAGGGGCCGAGAGAAGTCACTCAGACCCTAGGCCTTGCCATGGATTCCAGAGAACTAGTCTGTGGACTTGGAAGGCTAGTGGGTCTCTTATAGATCTGTGTGTTTTATGAGGTCAGCAGTGTCTCTCAGTGTCAGCAAGTGAACCTTCAGGGGTGTTAAAAAAAAGTCTCAGATCCATTGATTTTGGGGTGTCATCCCTGCCCCTGTCTTGTTTCAGTGAGTGCAGAGAAGGAAATAGATTGCTCAGGATGTTAACTGAAATAGAGCTGAAGTGACCTAAAACCAGATCTCTTCCCTTTAGTCCGGGGTACAGTGTGTGTGTGTGTGTGTGTGTGTGTGTGTGTGTGTGTGTGTGTGTGTGGTTTGCAGTCTAGGTAAGGTGTCAGGGATCCTCAGCTGCTCAGTTTGTAGGGTATGGCCTTTCTCTAACTCTTGGACCTTTGGAGCTCTCTGTTGGGGTGCTGGGAAGGTGTGCTCCCCAGGAAACACTCGGTGCTATAGTACAATCCCAGGACACTTCTTAGCTTGGCTGCAGTGGAGCCTGAGGATGTTTTTCTTCATCCTCTTCACTCGAGGGGTGAATGAACTGTGCACCTGCCAGCAGTAGAGCTTTGACAATCTTTATTTTAAGAGTTATCTGAGGGTTATAGGGTAGCTCAATAGGTGGAGTGCTTGTCTGGCACATATGAAGCCCATAAAACTGGGTGTGGTGATGTGTGCATGCCTGAAATCACAGCACTTGAGAGGCAGAGGCAGGAAGCTCAGATGTTTGAGTCACCCTTGACTACATAGCTTGAGGTCTTGACCACTTGTGTTGTTTTTAAACTAAATCCCAGTCTTACGATTTTACTGATAAAGATTCGGGAGTCAGATGCTGGGGTGAAAACCCACTAGCTCAGAGAGGCCAGGAGCTGACCTTCCTCTTTAGCTGACATCCCAGAAAGAGAGCTTCTCTTCCACCCTCCCAAACCAAAAAGGCCACTGAACTCAAAGTCGCTCCCTACTACTTCCTGCGCTGGCTCCACCTCTTGACCAAGGTTGATTTTATTTAATTAGTGTAATCCTGTAACAACCCTGCCCCCCCCACTCACAAAAAGGGGGCAGGAAGAAAGGACAAACGAAAGGTTAGCATTCTTTTACTTGTGTGGCAACAGTTGAGTGTGTTGGAGGTAACATGTACCTTGTATATATTCTTGTATGATTATATATTCTTACACGTTTAAAGCCCACCTCATAAAGGCTCACAAGAGATTAGTGGGAGTTGCCTCTGGGATGGAGAAAGGACTTTGAGAAGGAAGGATGGTTTCTTTTAATTGTCTACCTTTTAATATTACACACACACACACTCACACACACACACACAAACACACACAGGTTAACATTTGTCAGCACTGTGTATTCAACTGAAGAAATACATTTTTAAGTGGACAAAGGGGAAGTCAGCTGGAATCCTCTATCGGGCATCATTTTGATATCTAACCTCTCCATTTATGTATGCGTACATGTGTGTCCATTACAGGCACATGGAGTAAATTGGCACTGTCCTAACAGTAAATGAGCAGGCAGTGCCCAGACCTGCTCTCTTGGGTCACTGACTATGCTATCTGTGGGGTAATGGTGTTTGGGAGTTCGGCGGATGGCAATTTGTTTTCTGCATTACCCAGTCTCATTGGGGTCTCTGGCCCTGGCGTGGTCAGCTGGCATGTGGTGCCCTGTGTCTCTGAGTGTGCTCGGCCCTAGTCTCTTCCCCTCTTCCCCTCTTCCCAGCTGCAGAAGCTCCTCCTGGCCACATCCTCCCCAACAGCAAGCTCTGACGCTCTGAAGGAGGGGGCCACCTGGTCCCAGGCCAGCCTCAGGTCCAGAAGTCAGCGGCCTTGTGTCAAGGTATTTCTGCATATGCCCAGAAGTGACCTGGGCCCCCAGGTGGCTGTCAGCTGTGGCTAGGAGTGGCAGATTCAGTCTACCTCAGTTTCTTCCTCTGTCCTCACATAGTGCTGGCTGAGCCAGAACCCTGGACACCACACATCCAGAGTAGCACAGTGTGAAGCTGTGATCCCTGCGCTTTCCGACACTCAGCCTGTGAGATGTTGACACAGGTCTTGACACACACCAGAGCAGGGACAAAAAGGTGTGGCCCCTTCAGGGCTCATAATCTAATGGGGGACAGATGGGACCAGGATTCTCACTGGTTATGGAGGCCATAGTCTGTTTCATACTGAAGCTTTAGGATTTATTTTCTGAGGAGCCGCTGGCCACTTGAGAGCCTTGCACACAAAAGGGTGACACCCATACCTGCACTGGCCCTATTTTTTTTTGAAGATTCTGCAGAGGCTCCAAGGCTGGGAGCCCTGTAGAAGTCTGGCTATCTCTTTCTTCCTCAGCAGCTCAGTTTGCCAGGTACCAGCCCTACTGGAGGCTGGGGATGAAGTGAAGGAACAGGCCATCCCCACAGCCCTGGGAAAAGATGCTGGCTCTGCTGGCTGCCAGAACAGGCAAAGGGAGAAGCTCAGTGTTCCTCCCTGCTCATTCTGGGTTATTTCCTTCTTCAGGTGGATGGCACCCAGGATAAGAAGACCCCCATGCTGCGGTCCCAGAGTCGCCCTTGTACGGAACTGCATAAGCACCTCACCTCGGTGCTGCCATGCCCCAAAATGAAAGCCTGCTCCCCAACCCCACGCCCAAGTCCTCAGCTCCTCTCCAAGAAGGATGAGGAGGTGGGGGAGGATTGCCCAAGCCCCTGGCCAGCAGCTCCAGCCTCTCCCCAAGACTCCCTAGCACAGGACAGGGCCAGCCCCAGCTGTGCCCAGGCTCCCCAGGAGGATGTGAGGTCCATGGTACAGCTCATTCGCTACATGCACACCTACTGCCTGCCCCAGAGGAAGTTTCCCCAGCAGGCCACAGAGCTGGTCCCCCAGCCCTGCAGCAGCCCCTCCAGGCAGGCCCCACCCCCGTCCCGGCATCCCCCCAAAGCCTTCTGGACTGAGTTCTCCATCCTGAGGGAACTTCTGGCTCAAGATGTCCTCTGTGATGTCAGCAAGCCCTACCGCCTAGCCACACCTGTCTATGCTTCCCTCACACCCAAATCCAGGCCCAGGCCCCCCCAAAGACAGTCAGACCTCCCCTACCCACTCTGCCATGGCCGAAGAAGTGAGAATCTCCGCTTCCCCCCAAGAGCACTGGGCCTAGACCCAGCCTGCGCCCTCTGAGGCTGGAGGTGAAGAGAGATGTTAGCCAGCCTTCCAGGCAAAAGCAGGAGGAGGACGAGGAGGAGGACGAGGAGGAAGAGGAGGAAGAGGAAAAAGAGGAGGAGGAAGAGGAGTGGGGCAGGAAGAGACCAGGCCGTGGCCTGCCATGGACCAAACTAGGGAGGAAGTCGGACAGTTCTGTGTGCCCTGTGCGGCGTTCCAGGAGACTGAATCCAGAGCTGGGCCCCTGGCTGACATTCACTGACGAGCCCTTGGGTGCTCCGCCCTCGATGTGCCTGGCTACAGAGACCCACAGCCTGGAGGAGGAGCTGGGCAGCCTCACAGACAAGAGTGAAGACCAGCAGCTCCCCCAGCGGCCCCAGATCCCAGCCTTGGAAAGCCCCTGTGAGAGTGGGTGTGGGGACACAGATGAGGACCCAAGCTGCCCACGGCCCCCTTCCAGAGGTAGTGTGGCCCACAGCAGAGGGTGGGGTGGGCATAGCATCCCCACTGGAAGCTGGGAGCGCTGCATTCAGGCCCTCACTTTTTAGGCATTGAAAGCGGTTCCTTCTGGCTGTCTCGTGCCCTTTCTGTACAGTGGGGTATTGGGCAGATCTTCAAGAAAACACCTGCTCTTCTTCGAGATTTTCATCATGCCCATCAAAAGCACTGCTTAATGAACAAAGGACCAGAGGCCTGCCTCCATGGGGATAGGGGAGAGGGTCCATAAAAAAGTAACCGAAGCTAGGCGTGGTAATAAACACGGTACTTAGGCAGGCGCAGGAAGACAGAGTTTGAAGCCAGCCTGGGATCTCTTACATGTGGAGATCTGTTCCAAAAAAAAAAAAAAAAAAAAAAAAACAGAGACTAAGGCTCGAGGCTCAGAGATGTTTAGTGAGGGACCGCTCACTACAACCGTCTAGAATCCCAGCTTGGGCGCTGGGGCCTAGGGCTTGGAAGGCCTGGTCACTGGACTGCACTGCTTGGCCGGCAGGGGTCCTGCCATGTGTCATGTTAAAGGGAAGCTGTGAGTGGTGCCCCTGGAAAGGGGAGGACTCCTCAGAGGGGAGAGTTTGTGTGGTGTGTATGGGGAATCTTACGTTCTTTCTTCTCTTGTCTTTCCAGACTCCCCCAGGTGCCTCACGTTGGCTTTGTCACAAAGGTAGATTTTTTTTCTTTTAGAAATCATTGGTATATTATTCTGTGAGATTAATACTTGCGCATTCGGCGGGAGGTCATGAGCCCCTGAGCCCAGTTCTGCCCTCGGGCTCCGGTTGCCATCTCTAGCACTCAGGGTCCAGACTCCTTCCAAAGGGCGTGTGTTTTAAAGAGGTACCCTCTGTGAGCTGAGGGGAAAGATGGAGGGTCATGCCATTTCATAAGCTGTCATCTCCAGGACTCGGCAGAGTGTTCTCTGGGATGGGGACTGGAGGCTCACAATGCTGTGGGATTGGGAGCAAGTTCCTTCCCTCTGAGCCTCAGTTGCTCCATCTATAAAGCAAGGAGTCTACACCAATCTTTGCCTATACCTTCCCAAAACTGTGAGCCTTGAGTTTCTCTAATAACCAGAATGGGGCCCCTCGGCAAGTTCTCTCAGGCCCCTTTCCATGGCACAACCAGGGTGTCTCACAGTGTCCTTTGCCCCCCTCAAATTCCCTGAAAGCCTCCTACTGATCAGCCTCTTCCCTTTCTATCCTCTCTGCCTCTACCAGCGACCCTCTTGGCAAGAAGAGTTTTGAGGAGGCCTTGGCGGTGGAGCTGTGTGGCACGGCAGGTGAGCTAGGGGTCCAGATGGTTGGGTGCCTGTGGGGAGCCGGCAAGGCCCTGGGCAGGAGGACTTCTGGCCACTGCCTCATGAGGTACCCTGGCTAGCACTGAGATGCATGGGGAGCATGCCGGGAGGAGGGTCAAGGCCCGCAGCGGCCAGCCCTTCCATCGCTGGTGCCAGCGGCTGAGATGATACCGAGGTCAGGAAACAGAGACACAGCTCTGGAGGAGAGCCCTCAGGAGCATGCCATGTGCTTGTCTCAAAGTCTGAGCAGAACCCAGCTCATGTGAGAGGTCTGGCGTGGCCTGGCCAGCCTGGAGTACACATCACAGGGGGCCACTGGAGGGTTGAAAGACCAACAGGCATTAGGAAGACAAAGAAGGGTGTGCTTAGCCGAAGAATTGGCACAAGTAAAGGCGGGGCAGAAGGGAAGTACAGGGTGCACCTGAGTTGGGGTCCCCCGGTCTGGCCAAATGGAACTAATAGGGATGAAGGAAGAGCATCCCCAAAGACCAAAGCACAGAGGTGTCTGGCGCCTGTCTTCTAGGCTTCGGAATAGAGAAAGGAGTAAGCATTTTAGCAAGTCCCTGTGGTGCATCGGGGAGAACAGAAGACAAAGTCAGATCCGGTAGCATCGGGGACATTGAGTGGGTGGTTTGACCAGTGACAGCTGCCTGCTCTGTGCTGGGGTATTTGTGAGACAGAGCTCTTTAAACGGTTGGCGGTAGAGCAGGAACAGATATCTCTGACCTGGACACATTAGCTGCCATTACCAATTCCCAAAGGGATGGCTGGTGTCTCTCGTTTCGTGCCAGCTCCTAAGAACAGGAGGACTCTGGGCTGCATACAGGATTAGGCAGCAGTGTGGTGACCAGTCAGTGAAGCCTGCCATCCACCTATAGGAATGTTGTGGCACGCAGCCACTTCTTTGTCCTCTCAAGCGGAACACTTGTTGTCCTCTGAGGAGACCTGCCTTTCCCTCACCTGTTTCTCCTCTTGCCTGGGTAGGACTCACTCCACCCACCACACCTCCATATAAACCCATGGAGGAGGACTCCTTCAAGCCGGACACCAAGCACAGCCCAGGCCAAGACACGGCTCCCAGTCTCCCCTCCCCCGAGGCTCTTCAGTGCCCAGCCACCCCAGGGGCCTCCCACAAGCTGCCCAAGAGGCACCCGGAGCGAAGCGAGCTCCTGTCCCACCTGCAGCACGCCACAGCCCCGCCAGTCTCCCAGGCGGGACAGAAGCGCCCCTTCTCCTGCTCCTTTGGAGACCATGACTACTGCCAGGTGCTCAGGCCAGAGACTGCCCTGCAGAGGAAGGTGCTGCGCTCCTGGGAGCCAGCTGGGGTCCATCTTGAGGACTGGCCCCCGCAGGGTGCCTCCCTGCCAACTGAGACAAAGGCCCCTAGGAGGGAGGCAGAGCAGAGCTGTGACTCTACCCTCCAGGACAGCACGCAGCTGAGAGACCATGAGATCCGTGCCAGCCTCACAAAGCACTTTGGACTGCTAGAGACCGCTCTGGAGGATGAAGACCTGGCATCCTGTAAAAGCCCGGAGTACGACACCGTGTTTGAGGACAGCAGCAGCAGCAGTGGCGAGAGCAGCTTCCTGCTGGAGGAGGAAGAAGACGAGGGAGGGGAGGATGATGATGAAGGAGAGGACTCCTCAGGGGTCAGCCCTCCCTGCTCGGACCACTGCCCCTACCAGAGCCCGCCCAGTAAGGCCAGCCGGCAGCTCTGTTCCCGCAGCCGCTCCAGCTCTGGCTCCTCATCCTGCAGCTCCTGGTCACCAGCCACCCGGAAGAACTTCAGGTACGTTTGATGGCCCTGGGGAGAGGTGCTAGAGGGGAGGAGCCCTAGGAACTTGCTTTGAAACTGGGCTTGCCTCTCCACACGTGGCCCCAGCCCTAGTCAGAAGCCATGAGATGAGCTTCTCAAGAGCTGGGCTGTCTGAAGCAAGTCAAGTCTGGCAGGGACTGTTGGAAAGAAAGAAACCCCACCTTCTGGTCACCTGCAACTTTGTAGCCTAATGAGCTTGACCCTTGTTTTCTACTTTGTATTTGTCAACAGATAGACTTTATTTATTTGGTTGTTTGCTTGTTGTTTTTCTGTTTTTTGTTTCCCTGAGGCAGTGTTTCTCTGCCTGTCCTGGAACTCACTTTGTAGACCAGGTTGGCCTCTAACTCACTGGAATCCTCCTGGCTGTGCCTCCCAAGTGTTAGGATTAAAGGCATGCGCCACCACCACCCCACTAAGAGATAGATGTTTTTATGGAAATACAGACCCACAGAGTTGAAAAGCAACATGATGTTGACGTATTAAAGAAACATGGGTGTAATTTCAATCTATGTTCTGAAAAACATACAGATGAAAACAATGCTGAAGTTCACTCCTAGGCTTAGTCCTGCACTATTTGCTGCTGTGAGAAGACCCTTTAAAAGCCCAGTGAGGGGCTGGAGAGATGGCTCAGCGCTTAAGAGTGCTCTTCCAGACATCCTGAGTTCAGTTCCCAACAACTCCCTGGTAGCTCACAACCATCTATAACAGGGTCTGACGCCCAGTGGGGAGGTGGTTCATCATGAGCCAGTTTAAGCATCCCATCTTTGAGTGCTGGACCTAGAAAGGGATTTCCATTGTGATAAAACACCATGACAAGCCAGGAGGTGCTGGCACATGCCTTTAATCCCAGCACTTGAAAGGCAGAGCTAGGTGGATCTCTGTGAGTTCGAGGCTAGCCTGGTCTACTAAGCGAGTTCCAGGACAGCCAGGGGTGTTACACAGAGAAACCTTGTCTTGAAAAACCTAACCAAACAAAGAAACAAAACAACAGCAACAAACACACACCGTGACAAAAAGCAACTTGGAGAGGAAAGGGTTAGGGTCACTGAGGGACATCAGGGCAGGAATTCAAGGCAGGAACCTGGAGGCAGATTTGGGGGAGAGCAGTTCCTACTTGCTCTGTTCACAGCAGGTACCGGAACCAGCTTTGCCCCCAGGGAGGCGCCGGAAAGATTTGAGAGGTTCCAAGCCCTGTGCTTGAAGTTTGCCTGGGTGACCACTAGGTGGTACTCTTCAGCCTGGAGCAGAGCCATGGAGTCATCTTGGGATTTGCTAGGCTGCTGCTGGGGAGTCAGGGGTATGCTGAGTCTATGGGTGTGGATAACAGCATTTCTAATAACTTCTCAAAGCACTGTACTCAGAGGTCAGAATTCAGATCTTATAGATACCTTTCCTTAGATGTATGCACACATCTCTACCAATTACTCTTAGCTCTTCGAGCGCCCCTCCCGAACAAAGGCCCCTGCCCTCATCAAGCTCCACATGAACATAAGTTTCAGAGGGTCCATGAATGCCCCACCAACCGATGTGAAGAAGCGTTGAGCTTTGTGCTAACTACAAATGGCTTCCCCTGAAGTTCTGCTTCCAGACAGTTGTCTGGCAGAACTCTCAAGGCTTGCTTTCTGGTTCTTTTATCCTTGCCGGGGAGTTTGCTGAGATGTTCCTGTCTGTGAAGGTGGGTTCCTAATGCCACTGGAGTTTCCCCAGTGTTGATCCCATCCCCCGGGGCCAGCACTAGACTTCCTGAGCACGTCCTTTCCCGCCCAGCCCATGGATTTGTACAGAGTCTGCATTCCAGAGCCCCAAAAGTTGGGACCAGAGCTTCCTTGAGACTATAGGTTCCATATTTTCTCTTCTCAGATGTGGCCCCAGTGTAGCCTGGCCATTTCTGTTCACTGGACAGAGTAAAGTGTGTTTGGCAAGTCCGGGAAACCACCCCTCAGTGCATTGAGGCCAGTTGAACAATGCCGACTCAATCCCATGACTTCCAGTCTCCACCTAGAAGGGAAGGCCCACCACCAGAGTCTCAGTGAATGATAATCCTTGACTGCATAGAACTTGAAAGGTAGCCAGTCACATCGCCTTCTGTTATTTAGTTAGGCTTCACTGATGCAGCTGGAGAACACATGTGTTTCTTATCCCCACTTTAGATGAGGAAACTGAGGCCAGAGAAGATAAATAGAAAAAAAATGAGCAGTACCAATCTAAGCCACTTAAGTGAATTTTTTTTTACTGCTCACAAATGACCAAGGAGGTGGGCACAGTTGGGCGTATACCTATTTTGCAGATGAACAAGTAAGTTGAGAGGACTCGTAAACTGACCCAAGGTCACCCTCCATAGGGAGGTGGTGGAACCAGGGCTTAAGCTCAGGCTGTGTGACTCCAGGGCTCACGTTCTTATCCTCTATGCTGCATGTTTTAAAGACTCATGTGGGGTGGGGCTGCATCCCAAGAGGATGAGAGAGATGATGAGTTCTACAGCGGGCGTGGCTGCTCCAGGCTGGAGTAGGAACCACCAAAGAGCAGTGGTTCTAGAGTAGACCTGATAACAGCTCTCCCATTTCTAGTTCGGGGCAAGTCCTAGCTGGAACCTGAGCCTCGGACTTTCTTTTGGAAAATGGGAATATACGAGACCTTCTGGGATTTTTTTTTCTCATCCAGTTAATGAGGGCTTTCTATCCCTAACAGCAGGGAAAGGTGAGACCTGGAAGATCAGAATTAATTAGCACAGGGTCCCCCAGCCTGGCAGCCTGCAGAGGACGCCTGACTAGTGTCCAGTCCCACAGAGTGAGGCCTGGGTTTCTGCAAGAGAGAGACTGAGCGCTGTGCCTTGCTTGTTCACTGACAGACGTGAGAGCAGAGGGCCCTGTTCAGATGGAACCCCACGTGCCCGGCATGCCAGGAAGCGGCGGGAAAAGGCCATCGTAAGTGATCTGGGGTCCCTGGGCCTGGAGTAAATGGGGGCAAGCCAGGGGCATCAGGAAATGCTAAGCCCGCCAGCCGTCATCCTCTGCCTGGAGAATAATGAGCTGTAGCCTACGTGTAGGGCACAGCTGTTTATCTTATTTGAAGGTAACAAAGGTAGCCAAGAGCCGTTAAAGGTAGCACCATGGAAAGTTAGCACTTGACTGGCCTTGGTATGCAGTGGGTAGCCACCGAGAACTCAGCCTGAAAGAATCAAAACAAAAGATGGTGGGGGTCAAGCAGAGATAGGCTAGGTGAGCCAGGTCACAAGCTGCAACTTCTGTGTAATTTGGGGCAAGTGCCCAGCATCCTTGAGCCTCAGTTCATTCATCTGCACGCTGGGGAGTTGCCTTTTGCTTCATAACGGGTCCCTCAGCAAACCGGTTCCATCCTCCACACACCTTGAGGATCTTCTGGGAGCCTGCCGTGTGCATGGGCCAGCTAGCTATGTCATAACCCTAGAAAGGAGGGAGGGAAGGTATAACACAAAAGGACAAATAGCCTCTCTGGGTGCCATGCTTTGGGAGGTGGGCGTGTGGGGGCACACAAACCCCAGAGGTGCACAGCGTGTGTAACAGGTACTGAAAACTGCACGTAAAGCCAGGCAATGGTGGTGTGTGTATACCTTTAATCCCAGCACTCGGGAGGCAGAGACAGGCGGATCTCTGTGAGTTCAAGGCCAGCCTGGTCTACAGAGTGAGTTCCAGGACAGCTAGGGCTATATTACACAGAGAAACCCTGTCTCAAAAACAAAACAAACAAAAACTACAGGTAAGACCAGGAATGATGACACATACTTTTAATCCCAGTACTTGGGAGGTAGGGCTCTGTCCACAGCGGCAGGTTGATTTCTGTCAGTTCAAAGCCAACTGGTTTGTAGGGTTCAGAGTTCACTGGAAGGGGAGATAATGAGACAGACATTAGGACCATGGGAGCCACCATTTTATCTTTGAATTTACCAAAGACAATTGTCAGGTCTGCACAGTGGGTTCCAGGCCAGCCAGGGCTACGTAGTGGGACCCTATCTCAAACAAAATCAAGGCACAGGTGACCTTAGTCTTCTTGGGTTCAGTGGTTTGACATACCTAGCATAACCCTAGGCTTCAAGTGACAGTGGTATAAAGACAGATTAAGTCCCTAATTCCTGTGGTTGAGACGGAAAGGCAAAAAAGACAACAAGCTCATAAACAAAGAAACCAATGGGACCAAGAGTTGGCATTAATTCCCTGAGATTATGATAGAGTCCTAGAATATGAACCATTGGGATAGCATGTTTACATTGGTGACTTATGAGAGCTATTCACAAGGAGCTTGGGGATAAAGAGGTCCAAGGTCTGGGGTAGGGGCAGACATTCAGGAAGTTATCAGGAGTCTGGGGGCGGGGCTTTCTCTATGCACCTGGATGGACGCCATGACCATGCATGAGGTTCTGTTGTGGAACCTCACTCTGGGGTTTCTTTCCTGCCATCCGTGGTTGGCGGATGGGCTGTGTAGAGAGTTGCTGGCTGCTCCTGTGCATAGAGAAAGCCTGTCTGGATCACACACTGTCTCAACCACCAGAGCACAGATATCCAGACAACGGCCCCAAGTCCTCAAATCACAAAAGAGAGGCAGGAGGTTGCAGCCTGGCCTCCCTGATCATCTTCTCTGCCTGTCTGTTCTGCGTGCCCATCTAGCATATAGCGAAACTCTCCTGAAGGTGGCTTGTGGGGCATGGTGTCTGTGTCATGGCTTCATCCAGCTTTCCCTGGCAAACTCAAAGATACAATGGTGGCTCCCTTGGCCCTAACTCCTGCCTCATTATCTCTCCTTCCAGTGTACTCTGACCCCACACACCACCAGGTCCCCAGTGTGTCTCAGCAGCCTGCAGGCTCAGCACAGTGCTGAGCAGAACATGTCTCCTGGTGCAGCTTCTCTCTGCCCAGGCTCTACTTAGTCCCTTCTCGAGGGTGCTTCCCCTGGGGGCTGCTTCTCCTGCACTCAGTGGTCCCTGCTCCAACAAGGACAGGCCCTTTGCTATAGAGGCTGTCATGGTCCTCTCTCTGACTCCAGCAGTGTTGCTGCTCAGCCATGCCTAGACATAGACTCCGTGAGAGTAATGACGGGGCGCCCTCTCTGTCCTCCTTCTCGAGCAGGGCGAAGGCCGTGTGGTATACATCCGAAATCTCTCCAGTGACATGAGCTCTCGGGAACTGAAGAAGCGCTTCGAGGTGTTTGGGGAGATAGTAGAGTGCCAGGTGCTGACAAGAAGTAAGAGGTGAGTCCAGACCAGCCATTCCACACAGGAGGGGGCAGGGAGCTGGCAGGAACGGGTGGGAGACGACCAGGATGAATCCTGCTGGCACGTGACCCGGTGCCAGATAGTTTCCATTCGATCTGTCATCTAAACTTTTGACACCGCTAAAACCTAGCCATTCTGCTGCTTTCTTTTCTGGGGCGTCTCAGGCAAGTTAATTAGCAGGGAAGAGATGGAGCCCACAGACCCCTCAAGGCCTTTGATCAAACAGCCATGCAGGCCCGGAAGTGCCCTTTGACAACCCGAAGGTGATGCGCTTGTTCCGGGGCCTCACTGTGGTGCGTCTCCGTGTTACTCACAGGCCTCCCTTCCTCTGCAGCGAGTCCTGGGCCTGCCATCTGCTAAGTAACCCTGGCTTGTCCTCATTCACCTAGGAGAGCAGGCTTTTTTTAATCTGTAAAGAAATCTGCAAAAAGCCAAGTCGCCTATAAGCATTCACTATAGATGCCACAGGTTCTTCAAATTACCCGCTATCATACCTGCAAAGTAATTTACTAGGATTTTTAAATTCTGATCTAACAGAAATAATCATCATAAAAAGCTTTAGCCAGAAAGTCATCTCTTATATCGCTGTCATTCCGCGCCTCGTATCGTTTAGATGGCAACTGCTTGAGTTTGCTTTCCATTGCTGTGATACACACCATGACCAAAAAGCATCCTAGGGAGGAAAGGGTTAATTTCAGCTCCCTGCTTAGTCCATCGTAAAGGAAGTCAGGACTGGAAGTCAAGGCAGGAACTGAAGCAAAGGCCCTGGATGAACACTTCCCACTGCACTTCTTCCCAAGGCTTGCTCAGCCTGTTTTCCTATACAATCCAGGAACCCAGCCCCGGGGACAGCGCCACCCACAATGAGTCTGGTCCTCCCACATCCATAATCCATCAAGAAAATGTCCCTTAGGCTCGCCTACAGGCTAGTTTAAGGGAGGCAGTTCATCCACTGAGGTTCTCTCTTCCCACCTGGCTCTAGCTTGTTAAGTTAGACCGAAACTAACCAGCATACTACCGTTAAGATAAAAATAAGGAAAAGCTGGTAAGGATGTGGAAAAAATTGCCCGCACACCTGAAGCCACGCCCTAAGGTGCGGCCACCACCCCAAGTCCACTGTCAGAGCAGGATGCCAGTACAGTTATAGTTACACCTATGTCATGTGCCTAATAGAAACAGAAAGTGAAATGATGGTTGCTGGAGACCCAGGGATAAAATGGAGATACTATTTAATGGAATAGGTTTACTATTTAGAAGATGGAATATTTTCTGTAGCTCGCACCAGGCATGGCAGTCCAGACCTGCAATCCCAGCATTTGAAAACTAGGATCGTGAGGACAGAGAGTTTGGGACAGCTTGAGTTACAGAGCAAGTTCAAGCCTAGTCTGGGCTACCTAGTAAAGTCTATCTCAGAAAAACAAAACAAGCTAAACATTTTTTAGAGACTCATTGTATGACAATGTGTATCTACTTAACACTGCTCAACTAAACATTTAAAAAATGGTAACTTTTATGTTATTTTTTTACCAGTTTTTTGAGTCACTACACAAATAGAAGTTTGCAAAGTTTTGTGCAGTCTTTATGATTTCATGCAAATATAACCTGGAAAAACAAGCTCCAAAGAAAAGGCTCAGTTCCTGAGAATTGTTAAAGTGTAGTGTGGTGATATATTGTTTATGATTTATTAAAGCCGCTGGAGACGAAAATAGCAAAGCAGCCATACCAGCCAGGCATACACCTTTAACCCCAGGACTCAGGATTAAGAGGTAGACGGAGCCGGGTGTTGGTGGCGCACACCTTTAATCCCAGCACTTGGGAGGCAGAGGTAGGTGGATCTCTGTGTGTTCGAGTCCAGCCTGGTCTACAAGAGCTAGTTCCAGGACAGCCTCCAAAGCCACAGAGAAACCCTGTCTCGAAAAACCAAAAAAAAAAAAAAAAAAAAAAAAAAAAGAGGTAGATGGATCTCTGTTAGTTCAAGGCCACATTGACTACACAAAATTGAAACAGCTCACATAAAGGTAATATGATACAATACGTGGGTGTCCAGCAACTGTCAAACTCCCAGCACAGCTCAGCTGCTCCTGTTGTCATCACGTTGCAGAGGTTGGTCTATCAAATGTCATTAGCCCTCATCAGTGAGAAGGGCGCATGTGACATGGTTTTCTGCTCCTCATCCTACGATGTGTGCTCTCATAATGTCCACCAGACTGGCCTAGAAACATCCTCCCTTACACCTTATCCTCTCCCTCCAGAGGCGAGAAGCATGGCTTCATCACCTTCCGGTGTTCGGAGCACGCTGCCCTGTCCCTGAGGAACGGCGCAACCCTGAGGAGGCGCAATGAGCCCTCCTTCCACCTGAGCTATGGAGGGCTCCGGCACTTCCGCTGGCCCAGATACGCTGACTATGGTAAGAGCAAATCCTAACTGCGTTCTAGTGAGTCTCAGAGCGTGAGGCACAGTGACGAGTTCCTTTAATGTCTGAAGGCTCCTCCCGGTTGCTAGTCCACAACAGCTTTGTCTGTGGCTGCCATCTTGCTTATGTTCTGGCCTCTGGTCCTGTGAGTGACTAAGCACACAGTCGTGTCCTGTTCCTACATGAAGGCGCAGTCTGTGCTCTCGGGCTCTCAGCAGCAGCATGGCTATCCTGCCTCTTGATGTCCATTCCATAGTGGCCCTTCAGCAGGCAGCAGCTTCGCCATGAGTAGGTGGCAGGGTGCCTGCACCATCGTCATGCCCTTGCCATTTGTGTACAAGTTGGTGAAATCTGAAGAAACCTGACGTGGAAAAGAGTTTCTTGTAAAGGAGCCCATGGTAGCCTTCCTGATACAGCACTGAGTATCCAGGGATCTAAGTGGGTCTCAGGTGCAGTCTGTTATGAGAGCATTTTCCCATCTGTCTGAGATAGGTTTATTGGTGTTCTTCAGTGACTGACCCAGTAACAGTCTATCAAGTTCCTAGTTGGTGGGAGGGTGTTGAGGAACATCTATTTCTAGGACATTCTAGGATATTGGCTGGAAATGAGTTGTAGGGTATTCCGTTCAGGTACTCATTGTTCTACAACAAGGCCTCTGAAGCCGTGAGATCTGGTCAACATGGAAGTAAGGTCACAGCAGGATGACAGTTGATACTGTGGTAGTACCCATTCCTGCACTGTGTCACCCTGGCCGTCCCAGCTCCGTGAGGCCCACTCTCGGGGGCAGATCTGCCGGTTGGGACTGAGTTTCTTACCGCCCTACCTCTCACTGATCCACAGATCCCACATCTGAAGAAGTCCTTCCCTCATCTGGGAAAAGCAAGTATGAAGCCATGGATTTTGACAGCTTACTGAAAGAGGCCCAGCAGAGCCTGCATTGACATCAGCCTTAACCTTCGAGGAATACCTCAATACCTCAGACAAGGCCCTTCCAATATGTTTACGTTTTCACAGAAATAAGTATATGAGAAGGAGAGCGAGCCAATGAGCGAGCGTGAGAGAACACACGTGAGAGAGAGAGACTTGAATCTGCTGTCGTTTCCTTTAAAAAAAAAATCAATGTTTACATTGAACAAAGCTGCTTCTGTCCGTGAGTTTCCATGGCGTTGATGTTCCACTGCCACACGAGTGTCCTCGCTTCCAGCGGATCGTCCTGGGTGCGCTTCCAGCGGATCGTCCTGGGTGCGCCTCAATGTGCTGTCAGTCATCTGTCCCTCCCGCCCGACTGACTTCCTTCTGTAGACTTGAGCTATGTTCCCCATAACATCTTCTGTCTGTAGTGTGTGATATGAAATTGTTACTTGTGAATAGAATCAGGATTAGAAACTCATTTTTAATTGAAGAAAAAAAAAGTATATCCTTAAGATAAACGTATTTATGGCTCAGATATACTGTGCCTGGGGTTATTGTATTGCTTCCTTGATTGTTTAACTATGCACTGTCATGAGGTGTTTGCTACTGAGCTGCGCTGCTCCCCTGGCCGTGTATTCCTGGAGGTGTTGGGTGGCCACTGGGTCCCCAGGAAAGATTGGGTTGCAGTCCCGGGTAGGAAGAGTGGAGAGAGGTGTCCAGGTGTCCTCCACCAAGCCCCAGTGTCTTTTATTTTATTTTAAGTGAGTTCCACTCAAGCTGTAATGAGAATTCCTTCCCCCTATCCGACTCACACTTGGAGAGTGCCTGTCTTTATTGCTCAGAGCCATGAGTGCCTGTAGGGAAAGAGGACAGTGCTCTGTGAGGTGGAGTGTCTTGCCCAAGGTTCCATGGCCAGGCAGTGTACAGAGCAGTAATCCACACCATGCCTCCTGACTCCAGGCCCCAGCCTGCTGTAGTAGTTAGCATAAAAATGCAAAAGTCAGAGGCTGGGGTTAGCTGAGTTGAACAATAGGCTAGAAGCTTAGTAGTAGCTTATTGGAGAAATAGGTCAACAGTTCACTCACCAGCATTAAGGCAAATTCAAGCTTCATTCAGCACTGGCTCAGGTGTCCCTCTGCTTTGATCCTCCATGTCCCGTGACTTATCCTGCCTGTGGATACTCCTCAAGGCTTTGAGACACCTGCAAGTGGTACACAGACTTCACCAAGGAGCCGTCATTTTGGGCAGGGAGGGCAATTGATAGCCCGTACTATAGCCTACTGCTGTCCTTACTGTCCCTCCTCTGTAAAGGTGCAGGATGAGGGGTGTACAGGTTGGAGGTGGACAAGGCACTCCCAAGGAGCATTCACAGTGGAGTCCCCTTCAAACTGTTCTTGACCACTGTCAAAGCCATATCCAGTATGGGTTCCTGGGGGTCTTTCATGAGGGAGAACCAGCTAGGCAGAACATCCACTCTAATGCTTCATATAGATCAGTCCTCCTTGGTCTTGTGACATTTTCTTTCTTATTCCCCTGCCCCTCAATGTTCTGCCAAATAAGAAAGTTTGAAAGTAAATGATTCATTAAATTAACCAAGCTAAATTAATCTGCTATTAATCCCAGGCTTATTCTTTTGAGAATTGGTGTTTTGTTGTTGTTGTTGTTTTAAGATTTCAAAATACCTTAGTAAAGAAAGTGAGCCCCATGATCTTATGCTTGGTGTTGGGAATACTCTCCACCCGTAGATAAAACTGGAGGAGACTGTCTTTAGCAGAAATAGGGAAACAGACTATCTGTGTGTTAAATCTGTTGACCTCCCTAAACCCAGATTCCTTTTCTGTGAAATAGACTGAAGGGCACAATTAGACAGTAGATGTCTTAGCTTCTGCTCAGGCAGAATCTAGTCAGTTATGACTCCCACATCCTTGGTCAATGCAGACATACTTAATTATCATAGCACTAATTTTTTTGTGTGTGGGGAAGCCTGGTTGTGCTATTAGAATCTTTAACACAGTGCTCTGGGCAGGCATTACTAATTGGTTGTTTAATTTATTTGATGCCCTGATCTAGTGGTAGTCTTTGGAAGACTACCTTTGTAGAGCCATATGCTGGCTGGTTTTTATGCTTACCACATCTCTGTCATGACCTCGTCCCTGGGGGCAGGGTACCCTTGAAGCCATTACTTGGCAAAAGACTTCCCAATACTGTTAACAACATAGTATAGAGAGGGGAGGGAGAATAGCAAACAGGAATATAACTGGAGAAGGTGTGGCTTCTAAGGATAGATCCAAAAAGAGACTCTTCAAAGCACAGACCCAGTCGTTCTGAACTCCTTTATAGTTATCCATTGCCTAGCGCATAGTAGACACATGGAAAACGGGGTATAGAACGGAGCCAAATTAAAGCTCTTCACTTACCTCCACTAAAACTTGGGCTCTAATCATGGCAGAAAGCGAGTGTTTACTGAAATTACCTGATGGAAAAGAGAATAGATTTAATCTGGAGAGCCATTTGAATTCTGACCCCACCAAGATCTTCTTCCTGGGCCTCGGAGTGTAGGCGTTGTCCGGAAAACCCTAAGCTCTTCCTATTCACACCCAGTTACACTGAGCCAGATGATGGTTGCTGGGGTAAAAGAACAAATTCTTAGCAAACAGTAAGTCTCTCTCCCCAGCTAGGGTTAACTGGAGCTGCTCAGTCACTTCACTCGAAGTCACTTAGATGTTGGCTCTTGAGCAAAGCAGAGCTTTGAGCCTGGAGTTGGTGCCTGATGTCCCATCGGTCACGCTGAGAGCTGACGCCTATCAAGGGTTTCTGGTATCCTCCACTAACCCTCTCATAAAAACAGGCTACCAGGTCTGCAAATGACCAGTCCTGTAGATGACCTCTCTCGGAAGATTCACTCGGTGCTGCATATAACTTAACCAAGGAGACTGTCAGGCCCCTCCAAGACCATTTGGTCCTTTTCCCATTGAATCAATGAGTAACCCAGAGGGAGCAGCTGCTATTGGCAACCATCTCATTGTAACTGTCCTAATGTGTCTCAATGATGTTTACGTGTGATTGCCATACAGCTTCCTAGACTGTTGGCAGCCGCCCAGGGAGGGCAGGCTCCGTGTCATCTCTGTGCTGTGCCGGTATTTTTCTAGAAATGTCCAATCCAACCACTAAGTGGAATTCTTCCATCTCCTTCCTCAGTCAGTACAAGGCTGAGTCAGAGTCCTCTCTCTCGGTGTGTGTGTGGGGGACTCTGGTTACCGAAGGAAAATGCATCATAGGTAAAGAATATGAGTGGATGGAGTACAGCTAGGGTCCCTACTCCCCATCCCCCTGGCATACATTGTGGCCCCCACTAGACAAATGCTCGGAGTCAGGAAGCCGTCCTACGCCTGTGTCCATCCGTTGACCTTGTATCATGCGGTGAACAGCAAGACTCCAGGGATGGGAGGAGTACTCCGAGCCAGCCACGAAGACTTGGCCCTCAAGTCCTAACGTGGGAAGACATGCAGTTAGATGTCCTTTGTGACCTCAAGCCTTACAGGTCAGTGTTTTGGGTGAAGGTGTGATATGCCTGCCACGGCCACTATGCAGGTAGTAAATGGAGAGAAAGTACAGGTGGCTCTTTTTGCATGGCCAGCTGTATTCAGGGTCTGTCCCAGCCTCTGAGGTCTGCTCACCTCTCAGCTGACCCTGCTGCTGCAAATGCTGAGCACCTCTCTCTGAACCAGAGTCTCCCTTACAGGGTGTGTGACGTGACTCACTGGGGTCAAAAGGGTTGTTCTTGACATTCGGTTTTCAGCGGTTGAGATCAGCTTGAGAAAGCCATATTCCAGTGTCACGTGTGACGTTGGAAAGGGATTGCGTGTGTAATAGTAAATAGTGTGAGCCTGCTGGTTTCATTAGCCAAAGAAAAGGGATCCCTTCACCCTTCCCACTGGGGCAGAAGGAAACTAACCACTATTTATGTGCAATATGTTGATGCAACTCTCCAAATCCCTGAGGGTTTTGCATACAGGAGATGAGCTCCAGGGCTGTTTGAAGAGTCTGGGGATACAGGGTAAGTGCAGGGAGAGCCTGGGATAAAAACTTTCATGTACAGAGATGGCCTTGGCCTAGAACAGATGGGAGTGTGGGCAGGGTGCCCCTGACATTAGCTGCAGAACACCGGGTCACCCGGGAAGTAGCTAATCAGACACTTTGCACTCATCGACAAAAGCACTTTGAGAAACCTAACACTTGAGCCTTGCTCCACATTCTCCTCCGGCAAATATGTGTATCCTTTACCTATGTGAGGTGCTGTCCTAAAGGCTGGGTGAGAGGGTAGGGAAGGGGGCTAGTGTGGGGAAGAAAACAGGCGTCTTCCAAGGCGGAAGTCATGAGAGCCTGCAGCCAGCCAGTCCTTGGCTGTCCTCTTCACTAGAAGCCCAAGAAACAGGAGGATAGGGGTTTACATCTTGGGACCCACTTTTGTAAAGACTAAAAAGCAGCCCAGCCAATTGCAACGCTTTGTGGCGCAATCATTTCACTTGCTGTCTGACCTTCCACCCTGTTCCTTGAGCTCTTGAGCTAGCAAATGAAGCTATCCAATGATAATAGCATTCTCATCCGGGAGCCAAGGGCAACCCAGAGTTCCACTCTCTGGCTAGCTCAGGGTTGGCGGGTGGGGAGGGGGGCACTTTCTATAAGGTCATCAGCCTCCATCAGGATGAGATCCACATAGTCCTGGCTGAGGTGCCTTACATGAAGAGGCTAGCTTGCCAGGACAGACCCAAGCCATAGTTTCTTGTGGGGATGGCAAGGAATTAACCCCTCACTGGGCTCGTTGATAACTTCCGGTCTTGCATTGGCCTTGTCATCATCCCCACCGAACAGCTTTTAATCTGAATGTTGTGACCACTTGGCCGTCTCTTGCTTGCTTGCAGATAATACTAGCAATACACTTGTTTTCCCCAAACAGCTCAACTTAGACAGTTTTCACACATTGCTTTCAAATGATTGTAAAACACATGGGATAACAGGAGGCATGGATCACACTGCATATGTTTAGGGCAGCTTTTGTTTTTTAATCTTTAACGGTATAGCAGCAGTGACCAAGCCTTTGGAATTTGGGGAGACAGATTTTCATGAAGCCATTTAATCAGAATGCCTTGCATATCGGAAGGAGTACAGACATCCAAATACCCACACTGAGGGGCTTGCAGCGTATGATTTGGTAGATCTCCACTGTAAACAGCTCCTCTGAAAGGTATTCATGTGGCTCCAACCCCTTTGTGCCATATTATTTTTTTGTCAAAGGATTCTCCAAGGAAGCCTTAGCAAGCCTCCTTGCTCCCTTTGGCTGGCCTTGGGTAGTGTCCTTGTGGTGGTGATTAGCCAGCACTTTGCCTTATCAATGTGTGGTCACCAGTCAATGACTGGTGTCAACTGGCCACCAAGACGGAAGGCAAAACTAAGTTCCTTTGGTCAGTCACCATGCCGGCCAACATTAACTTGGCAGTGAAATACAATGACACAAGTGAGTTGTCTTATGTGTTCAGTACCAATTTGGAACATCAGCAACTACCTAGATGCCGATGCAGTCTGGGAAATACACTAGTTATCCTGTGGTAGAAGAGATAGGGTTGAACCCTGAATCCAGGTGTCCAGAGGGGTTTACTATAACTGCAATACTGGCAGCCAAGCTGCCAACCTTGTTAAGTGAACCTCTGCTAGGTGACTTACATGGTACCTTTGGGACAAGTAAAGTTGGCTATGAGGATTGGGGGAGAAGGGGCCCTGGCCATGACCACTGAATAGCCAAACAGGTTTTGTTTTGTTTTCTTAATTTTTTTTGTGTTTTGTATTTTGTATTTTAAAATCTTGTCAGATGTTTTTATGTTAGGAATAATAAGTCATAAACTGTTCCCACCTTGGTTTCTGAAGGGGTGTTCTGATTCCAGTTGAAACAGGTTGGAGATCTCAAGGGAAGCATGGTCTGGAGAGTACATGGGACAGGGCAGTGGAACGCACCTGGGTTTCTAGGTGGTTGCTGAGGAAGCTGACCATCTGGAAGTCCACAGTGCAGTCCATTGCAGAGATTCACGCCGGCCTTCTTGTCTCCTGAGTCCCGTGAGCACTGGCCTGAGCATGTGCTTCAATGAGAAGCAGCTGCTGAGGTTAGAAGCAAGGCTGTCTGGCTCCCCAAGCCCTTCGTTCCAGGAGATGCTGTCAGTAGCTAGCCTTAATTGACTGGGCAAGGTGGTTCCTGTGCTCCCTTCCAGCAGTTCCAAATCTTGGACTCAAAAACTCGTTTCTCTTAGCGTGACCATGCAACCTAGAGAATTTTGAGCAATAGGGAGCCAGGGAAAGCCCTGGCTCTGTGACAGGGTCAAACCAGGGAATGGCTAAACTTGAGAAGTTTTGTCATACCCAGGATACAATTGTAAGGGGGCATTGTGTATTAGGGAGCTCAACAAGATAACTGTAGCCTGGGGTATGTGAATGTAAGGTTGTGTTTGTGGGTGTGTGTGCACGCACGGAAAGAAAACATTAGAATAAACTTGTGCGTGCGTGCGTGTGTGCGTGTGTGTGTGTGTGTGTGTGTTACATTGATGCATTTCTTGAGAAAGGTGCAAGAATTTCACCTATACAGAGGGACACATCTGCTTTATTATTTATAATAGAAGCTAAATTTTAATTTTTTAAAGGACACCGCTAATGATTGAAAATCGAGTTTTTAGTTTTGCTATTTTTTTTAATTGGTAGAAGATTTTTATATATTTTTCCCATTTCGTTGGGTTGTGTCCTTATTTATATAAATACTTTATCCGTGAGTGGCGAGGAAGAAGACTTCTTTGCTCTTAATTATTGTGGTTGTCATTGTCCCTATTTTATTTCCAGTGTGATTTATCTGTCTTACCTTCTAAATGAGAAACTGTTTTCCTGTATTTGTACATTGTCAGATTCTATAGTTTCGTAGATAATTTAACCAAATTGCTCTATGTATTATTATTCTGTGAGTATAAAGTTCTATTTTAACGTCTGTAAATACTTCAGAACTGGTTTCTTTTCTCGGCTCCTGCTGGGAGCTATTGTTTACATCACAAAAAAAAACTGTAGAATCTCTATGCTCATGTACTGTAAATAGTGAAGTGATCTGCTTATAAATAAACTGAACAAATACACTATGGAAATTAAAAAAAATGCCACCCACGCCCTGCCCTGCCCAGGGGTGTCTTTCATTATTGATCCTGTGAATTCATTTTGTTGGGGGGACAATCTCGTCACCAAATGAAGGAGAGAATCCAGACCCAATCTTCCAGTCTTGCCTTAGAAAAGTCCTGGCCAATGTTTAATTTGTTTTTTGTTTGGTCTTTATTTGCCCAGTGCTGGGAATTGAATCCAAGGTCTGGTACCATGGTGTTAGACCCCCTATACCTTCTTATTTTCATCTTGAGACTGAGTCTCACTAAGTTGCCCAGTCTAGTTCAGAACTCACTAGGTAGCCCAAATTGACTTCAAACGTATAATCCTCCTGCCTCAACCTCATGAGTAGTAGGAGCATAGTTACAAGCATGCTGGGCCCCAGCCAAGGGCTGCCCTCCCAACCTCTTCAGGTACAGTGACAAAAGTCAGGTAGCAGAGCTGCCCCTGTGTGCTCCAGGGCAACTTCTCTTTCAGTAGACGCCTCTCTCCTCTCCTTGCCATTTAATGACTAAACACAGCATGCTTAGGGACAAGCCTTTGCTTGAAAGTCAGTATCCTTTGTGGAGCTTGTAACAGAGCAGAAACTCAGTTCAGGATTAAAAGACCGAAGTCCAGGCACATCCCGCTGTCACGAAACCTGAACAGAAGAAGGGCAGGACACTTGCTCCCGAGGCACAGACAGATCTGCAATGGCAGTCACAGGATGTGTGCGCCACAGGCAGTGTTCGCTAATCTTGGACATCTTCTGGAAGAAGGCCAGGGACCTGGGCTGTGACTTGACCCAGCCTCCTACCCTCTCTGGCCTTCAGTTTCCTCCTTCTTTCAAAGGGGCCCTTGGAGTAGGCTTGTGCTCCATAAAGTTTGAGGGAAACTGTGCCCTTCCCTCTCCTTGAGACAACTGCATTGATATAAGCTTCTGCAGACCCGATCCCCAGTTTGGGGGGAAGCCATGTTTAAGAGATAGCCATTTATGGAAGGCAGGCAGGCAGGCAGGTGTTGTGTGCCACCCCAGGGATGGGGGCTTAACAGGATATGGAGCAACTGTCTCTACAGCAAGTCACTAGCAAAGGGAAAAGAGCCCAGCTAATCTCAGAGCCGATGGGTAGACCAAGGCCTTAAATTTCGTCTCTGTCTGTTAGAGCTTTTAAATGCTGGGGGTGAGAAACAATAGGAATATAGTTTGAATTTGAGCGAGTATGGCAGATATTTTTTGCAGCCTTTTGTACATGTTAGTGCATTGACAACTTTTGGGTTCTTGTGCTGACTTCATCAGTTTTAGTTGTGTGGGTGCTAACTCTACCAGGCACAGCACACTTAGATTTAGTCTGTTAGGAACAGCCAAGATGGCCTCTTAGTTGAACAGAAGATCTCCAACTGAAATCAATGGAGAATTCAAGAATAAAAAGTGGATCTTAAATCGAGTGGTGGTGGTGGTGGTGCATGCCTCTAATCCCAGCTCTCAGGAGGCAGAAGCAGATGGATCTCTGTGAGTTTGAGGCCAGCCAGGACAGGCTCCAAAGCTACAGAGAAACCCTGTAGAGCCTAGGAGTTAGCATTCAGGCATTTGCACTGGCCTCCTCTCAGGGACCTAACAGGACAGACATCAGCTGCAGCCACTAAGTAGAGAATTCTCTGTGCACATGTGCTGTGGTCCCTTTGAAAAGGGAAGCCCTTTTCACTCCTCTTCCCTCCACTCTTTCTCAGAGGCAGCCTCTGCTCCCCCTCCCAACAAACATCCCATGTGAGTTGTTGTGTGGTGTGACTTTTGGTGCCCCTAAGCTCCAACCCACCATGGTTGCCTTCCCGCCGCTGCTAAACTATTACATTGGTGTGAAGACTCGGCAGGCTCTCTTTGTGGCACCTCTGGCCCACAGGCGACTAGAGACATGCCAGGATCCTGTACCCAGTCTAAGTGCGACAGGGTTACTTTCCAACTAACCAATCACTAGGACGTCACCCAACACCGGCAACAATTGGTTAGTCCCCCTTCTGCCAGTTGGGAGTGACCATGGAGCACATGTCACCCCTCTAGTGTTCTTGGAGGTGGAGGGACCTCCAGCACTGTCTTTAAGGCTACAGTTGACCTTCTTCACCGAGACTCATCTCTGGTCGTTTCCCATGAGTGAGGCTTAATCTCTCAAGCATGGTTTCTCACCCTTTGGCCTCGTTCACAAGCCCTGGTACCAGGTGACCATGTCTCACTCAGGTTCTCAGCCCTTGGCCCTTGTTCTTGGGTGACAACATGCTAAATAGCTTGGGCCTACTCAATCTGATCCTCCCTGGGTGCATGTGACACTAGGATAGTCAAGCCTTGGATCTTCTTTCTCTACCTCACTCATGGAAACTGTGTCCTTGATCATCCCTCCGAGTTCCCCCACACCTCAGACCTCTACACCTAGCACCCAACTAAAAGGCTTCTAAACTTATCTGTCATTGCAGTCAAATCTGGTCCTGATGCCCCTTAGATAATCCAAATGGCCGCCTACCAGCAGCCTGGGTCCTGATATTATACGGGACCATTGCAACTTCTGCCATTGATTGCATAGTAGAAGGAGGACTGTGTCTAAGCCTTCTCTTACCTTAGCTCCAAACCTTCCCTCTGCTCTTCCTGTTCCCCCACTCAGCTCCTCCTAGCTATTAAGTCTGAACTAGAGGAACTGTCCACTACTCTCTTTTTTTAGAGGGGGGAGTTTAAGACAGGGTTTCTCTGTAGCTCTTGGAACCTGTCTTGGAGCTCACTGTGTAGACCAGGCTGGCCTCAAACTCATAGAGATCCACTTGCCTCTGCCTCTCCCCACCCCCAGTGTTGGTTGGGGTTAAAGGCATGCATGCGCCCAGCTCCGTCCACTACTCTTGACCCTGCTAACAAGCCTCCACTTTACCAACCTCAACTCACAAATTCTCCTCCTTCAGCTCCTTCGGTCTCCTCTTCCTCTCCACCATCTGGCACCCACTTTCACTCCAGCAACAGTCTTTAGTTCCACAGTTACTTGCTCCCGATCCTCTGTGGAAACCCTCCATCTCTCTCTACCCAGCCTAACCCGGCCGCAATTCTCCCTTCGTGAGAGGTTGCTGGGGTGGATGAACTGGTTAAGGCCCATGTCCCCTATTCATTAAGTGAACTTCATCAAATAGAAACCAAACAAAACTGAGGTCTTATACGTCTAACACTGTTTCGTTCCTTGAAGAATTCCAATATACCACCCAATCCTGTAGTCTCACCTTCAGTGATATATTTATATTACATATATATATATATATATCAGTTACATATATATGTGTGTGTAAATGATATATATATATGTAAAATTTGTCCCACCTAAAGCCCTTTACTCCCCCACCTGAAGACAATTTTCCTTCGTGCAATCAACCCCAACAGGACCTCATTTACGTTTCAGAGAACACTGAGATCAACTGCCTTGTCCCCCATTCCAGAAGAATGAGGCTTCACCCTACAGCCATGTTAAACTCTACTGGATTGAGAACCCCATGAAGAAGTAGACCCTTTCCTCCCTGAGCCCTCTTCTTGTTCTCCTATCTCTACTAAACACACCCTGCTTCTTCAGTTTCTTCTCTATGTATCTCCAATGACATATTAGAAAAATCTCTAATCAAATGACTGATCAACTATTTGTTACAGGACTACCAACCATTAGCCCCAGAACTGGGAGAGGCAAGACTACCAAACGTGCCCAGGTGGTGAGAACCAACAGGACCCCAGAGAGTCCCATGCCACTGCCCAGACTTAGAAAGGAGACTCACAGATCTCAACGTAACTTTTACTATCCCTTTATTTGGAAGGTACTCGGTCTACAATGACTGCCCTCAGTAATAAACATCTGTGTCTCCTGGTAAACTGGATAGAAAGAAGGTGCTTTAAGGTTTGTTTATGTGAGGATATGAAAACTTAAGTGGTGATAAGAAGAAGGTGGTTTGGGGCATAGAAAACGATGGAACACGTCTCAGATTTCTTTGCCACTGTTATGGTAAGACTCCAAAAGTTCATAGTCCTAACATTAATCGGTGGGATTCCAATTTAATCTAGCTCTGGCAGAGAGCCACTTCTATTGTCATGGCCACAAGCTTAGCACTTTAAATTCCCTTTGATTGTTTTCTAACTATAGATTTAAAAGTGCTTTTCATTGTGCTAAAAACTTCTGTCTAACCTATATTCACTCAGTCTTCTGGACAGAGGAAAGAGTGTTAATGCTTTTTAACCAGAGTCATTCTTGGGTCCCCTATGACTCAAAGGTGTGAGTCTACTGCCTTTTCTACAATGTGGATTTCTGTATAGATTGCCAACAGTGGGAATGCTAATGTGTCTAAAATATCTCTCTTTTTGTAAACTCAAAAACTTCTTGTGTCCTCCAAGGAATCAACTTGGATCTACCCTGAACAGGTCAGATGCACTACAGGTAAGTGCTGCCAATCAAAAGCCTAAGTTTCCCCACTTCCTGCCTGTTCCTGAGGGAGGGCTCTCACCCACCTTTCTCTGGTTTTTGGACTGCCCTCCCTCAATTATCAGGACCTAAGAAAAAAATTCCCCCTAAATTTAACTTCTTCTTCTGCTCTGCAGAATCTTGCTAGGTCTGGGAATCCCTTAATCTGCATCTGGGACAGCTTCAAAGTGACAAGCTCCAAGTGGCCCAACTTCACAGACTGCTTCAACTAGACCTGCGCTTTCCTAGCATAGGATGGTCCTACAGAGCCCACGCAGTGAGTGAAACAGCTAGTTATCCCAGGAATGGCCAGCATCCCAGCTTTCTCAGGTCCCCAAAAGATGCTGATGACCCCAGGACAACAGGAAGCAGTCTCGAGAACACAGCACCATCATTCCAGCCTCACCTGCTACCCCTTCCTTTTTTGTTTTTTTTGTTTTTTTTTTTTTTGGTTTTGGTTTTTGGTTTTTTGAGACAGGGTTTCTCTGTGTAGCTTTGGAGCCTGCCCTGGCATTTACTTTGTAGACCAGGCTGGCCTCGAACTCACAGAGATTCACCCGCCTCTGCCTCCCGAGCACTAGAACTAAAGGCGTGCGCCACTGCTGCCCAGCTGCTACCCCTTCCTATTTCCTCAACTTTTTATAAAAAACAAAAGGGAGAAATGTTAGCATTCAGGCATTTACACTGGCCTGCTCTTAGGGACATAACAGGACACTTCATCAGCTGCAGCCACTAAGTAGAACACTCCCTGTGTGCATGCACCATGCCCCCTCATAAAAGGGAAGCCCTTCTCACCCCTCCGCCCTTCTCCCCTCCCCTCTCACTCAGAGGCTGCCCTCCCACTGACTTCTCGTATAGGGTGCCCCTTGGCTCCTGCTGCCATCAAACTACTGCACTAGGGACCTGGAGCCAGAATGGCCTTGCACAGTTGACCCATGTTGGGCAACATGGCCAGGCTTTTCCTCCTCAGGCATAGGTTCCCTTGAAAAATGCCACCAAAGAAACCCCAGGAAGAGCTAATTGCTGAAGCCCTCAGTCCTCCGTTTATGTACATAGTTCACGACTGGGCATGAAACGGTCACCCTCTCCATGTGACAGTGTTGTGTTAGAAAATGCTCTCTTTCTTGAAAGATGTGTGACTTTCCCCTTGAGATAGGGTCTCACTGTCTAGACTAGGGCCTCTTAAACTCCCCCATCTTCCCTGTCCTTTCCTTAGTGCTGGGATTACAGACGTGTGCTGCCATGCCCGGTAAGTCATGAGACCTTTAAAGATGCTTACTTCCTCTAAAGACTATAGAAGACTGAAGGGATATGTGTGGAAATTGCCTTTAAATCTGCCAGCTAAGTCACGGGTGGTATTGAACACAGATACTCTTCCTAGCCTGAGAGTTTAAAGTAAGCCTGGACTACATGGTGGGATCCAGAAAGAAATGAGGGAAGGGAGAGGGGAAGATTGAAAATGAATGTAAAAACCCATGAAACAAATATGACCAAAGCTTGGTGTTCAAATCTGGATCTCTACTTTTGAATCAGCAAAAACTTTCATAATAAAACACTAAATTATAAGAACGTATAAGAATTATAAGAACAAAAATAATTAAAGTAAGTCAGTATATGAAGTCTAGAATATTGGGCCAAACTCAATAGATGTTTCAGGATTAAAAACAATCTCTAAATTAGGCATGGTGGGTGGTACAAGCCTTTAATCCCAGCACTTGGGAGGCAGAGGCAGGCAAATCTCTGTGAGTTCAAGCCAGCCTGGTCTACAGAACTTGTTTCAGGACAGCTAGGGTTACACAGTGAGTCCCCTGTCTAAAACAAAACAAAAAACAAAACCGCAACAAAGCAATGTCCAAGAACACTTCACGATATAGACGCCTGCTGTATTCTATCAGCTCTCAAGGATTCTTTAACCATCCAAGAAGATATGTGGCTTTCCATTGGCCGGGGTGACCCCTTCCTTCCTGAGGGCTGTGCCACCTGCCAGCAGTGTCCTCAGCTACTGGATACAACAGGACTTGGATGCAGGTGCGCCCCCTGGGCTGGGGTTTCCTCCTGGCTGGTTCCCGGAAGCACCTGTGAAGGACGGGAAAGCACCCAGAGAGTCAGAGAGAGCTCTAGCAAACTTTGACCTGTTTGGACAAAGCTGAAGGCTTGGCACGGGCAGAGAGCAGACTGGGTAGGGAAGGGGAGTGGGATGCGGGGGAAGAGGGGAGGTGGGAAGGTGTCAGGAGAAGCAGGAGAAGCAGAAGTGCTTCCCCACTGAGAAGCAGCACAGGGTGGCAAATGGCAACCATGGCTTAGATGTCTGTGAGACATGGGAGGCTGCAGGAATTGACATGGAGGAGAGAAGGCCAAGGCTTCAGCCACCATCACGCAGACGTGACTACTGGTGTGGACAGATGTCGACTCTTAAAAAAAAAAGAAAAAGTGAAAATCTGTTTGTGTTTTGTTTAAACACGGGGTATCCCAACTTTAAAATGTAGACAGCAAATTCATATTTTAAGAAAAAGCTCCTGGGCTAGAGGAATAGATCAGGGATAGAGCACTTGCTTAGTATTTGTTAGGCCCTAGGTTCAAGTCCCAGCACTACTATTTTTAAAAAGGAAAAATCATAGGCCCCGTGTTTACACAAAGGCAGTTTTTGCAGTAGCTAAACCCACCCAAGAGGGCACTGATATATAAGATACCCTGTGGAAATTGTTCTTTTAAATCACCCGCAGTCTACTCATAGAAGAACTGGGGGTCAACAGTGTCTATGCTCAGACAGTCAGACATCATGTGGCAGGGACAAGAAGCCAAGTCCTATGAGGAAGTAGAGCACACAGACAAAGAAATGACAAGCCAGGGGGAGGGGAGGAGGGTGTCATGTGAGGGGAGCTGGGACAGACAACTCCGTCTGAAGCTAGGGTGTTGACGTCTCTGCGACACCCCCATTAACCTCTCTTCCAGCACACAGCCTCTGTCTATCTATCTCTCTGTCTCTGTCTCTCTCTGGGTCACACATGCCACAGCACGTGTGGAGGTCAGAGGATCACTTGTGGGACTCAGTTCCACCTGAGGCAAGGTCTCTGGGGTCCACTGCTTTGTATACCCCAGGCCTATGAGCTCTCCCCATCCCGCTGTAGAAATGCTCAGGTTGCAGACACGTGATTCCCCCTGGCTTCTTATGGGCTCCAGGACTGAACTCAGATCATTAGATTTGTGCTTTTTTGAGCTAAGTCGTCTTGCTAGCCTTTTGTTGTTGTTGTGGGCTTTTTTTGTTTTTGTTTTTACGAGTGTTCAGCAGGAATCTCCAGCTCATCCCTGCTTGATCTGTTCATTCCTCCCTCTCCAAACCCCACCCTTTCAGAAAAGCCACCAAAAGCCCAGTTCCACAGTGGCAGCAGCTCCTCCCTTGAAGCTGCTAGCTGCTTAAGGCCCCACCTAAAAGTGTTATAATTGGGCACAAACCCAGCTTGTAGAGGACACGCCATCACCTGCCCCTGCACCCACAGGGTATTTAAGGCCTCTCCTTTAGACTGGCCTGTGATTTCTCTCCTGCCCACCTCCCCATCTCTGGGGGCTGGAGGGTCACCCGGGAGTGCTTTGCCCAAATAAACCTGGTCTTGTACTTTTTAATTTGATCTGGCTAACAGCATCAGTGGAGAAACCTACCATCGGGGCTACAGGAAACCTATCAACAAGAAGGCTGGCCTTGAGCTCAAAGCAATTCTCCTATCTTAGTCTCCTGAATGCTGCGATTACAAGCATGTGTCCCTATGCTCAACTCTACACAACCCCCTGTGCACATGGTCATGTGCATGAGTGCAGGTATGGTCATGCCATGGTTCACATGTGGAAGAAGGTCAGCCAACAACCTCAGGTGTCTCTTCACCATGTTTGAAACAGGGTCTCTTACTATTCATTGCTACCTGGCTTGTGAGTTTTGGGAGATTCTCTTGTCTCTGCCAGTCTTCAGCATAGGAATGTTGTGATCACTCTCTCTCTCTCTACACACACACACACACACACACACACACACACACACACACACACTGTGGCACCTGACTTGAAGTTAGTTCTGGAGATCTGAACTCAGGTTCTCACATCCATGTGGCAATGATGTTACATACTGAGCCATCTTTTAGCCTCCACTACATATGGTTATTTTTTCTGGTTTCTCTGTAGCCCTAGATGTCCTGGAACTCGCTCTGTAGACCAGGCTGGTCTGGAACTCACAGAGATCCTCCTGCCTCTGCCTCCCGAGTGCTGGGATTAAAGGCGTGCGCCACCACTGCCCACACGTGGCTCTGCCTTGTGTTCAACTGTGGATCCTAGAGCATCCCTGGGCCTCCATCTAGGGACCAGAGTCTGCCATGCTCTCAGCACCCTCCCACGCAGCGCCGAGACACCAGGCGCAGATGCGCTGTGTGCTGAAGGGTGTCTGGCCAAGGCTCCGCCTGGCCTCTGCTGCACACCTTGCTTGGCTGCCTGCTGCTTCTGCTTCTCCTCCTCTAGCGCCTTCACCTTGGCCTCATACTCGTCGGCCAGCGCCTTCCATTCCTTGCGGTTGTTGGTTATCCCATCCAGCATGGGTGTAATTTCCTCATGGAAACGGGAGAACTCCTGGGAAGAAGTGTGAGAGGGACGGAGGAAGAGAGAGACAGACTATAGGGTAGGGTCATTGCCCCAGGACCCTGGCTCGAGTTGGGGCGTGTTCTACCTGGCACTGGTGTGAGCTGCCCTTCATCCTGCTGACACTAGGGAGCCCCTCCTCTCCCTCCTTTCCCCATGGCCATTCCTTCAGGGTGACATGTACGTCTTAGTGTGCCATTCACTGATCTCTGTCCTTTCACTATCCGGAAGTCACCCCAAGTCTCACTTCATGAATGTTTCCTCTTATCTGACTTCCTATAACTGTTCTCTTTCTGGAACACTCTATCCTTCCCCTTTTCCTTGATGTCCCTAGTTCCCTAACATTTCCTCAGGGAAACCTTTTCTAACCCCCCCTAGGTAAACTGAGTCCCCGTTGGATATCCCCAAATTCCTCCTCTAGTCAACTCCCACTTCCTTATAATGACTCCCTCTGCCTGCCTCTCCCAGAGGATGGCACTTAGAGATGGCAGGAATACTGGCTGCCTCATCCCCTCAGTTGGTTCTGGCTTAGCATAACCAAAGTCTAGAACACACAAACACTTCATAAATACTCACTGACTTAACCTGGGCTATTATGATGGCTCACATAAACTCCTGCAACTCTAGGGACTGAATAATGCCTTGGGCACGGTACACTGCAATCTGTGGGGCAATTTATTTCCTTGGGTCTTTTGAGTCCCCCACACCCACCCCATAAGGGATGTCTCATCACTCTTGCATTAGTAGGTGAGAGAATGGGTTGCAGATTGGCAAAGTAGGTTTGCTGAAGTGAGTAAGGTCCATCGCAAGAGGGGCCAGTCAGGATCTACTATCCCCAGAGATGGCAACGTTGTGGTCTAGGCTCTACCAGAAGCTATATGACCTTGGGACGGTCACTGCCAAAACTCACTTTCATCTAGATAGTAGGATAGTAACAGCACCTACCCAAGAGTAGTTGGGATTAAGCCAGTAAATGTGATGAGGCCCAGCAACGCCATGCCTAACACTACTGCTGGCAGTGTGAGCACCAGTCATGCTGCCTGTCTGTGTGACAACAGAGATACTTGGCCCCTCTCTCTGGCTTGGGTGTTAGGTGCCCCAGCTCAAGTCCTGCTGCATGGGTGGGTTTGGAGATGCTGGCCCTGACATTTATTGTCTCTGACCTCTCTCTCCCCGAGTATAATGTGGTCAGAAGAAAAATAATTAATGGGAGGTGGAGTAGGGCATGGTAGTATAGAGACATTATACTAGCACTTTGGAGGTGGTGACAGGAGGCTCATGAGTTGGAGGTCAGCCTGTGCAACATAGCCTGGCCATGTTCATAAAACCAAGAGGAGACAGGTGGATAGTGGAGATGAGCTTGGCAGTGGTAGGCCTCTCACGAAGGAGACTAACCTGGACAAGAACTCCAGGAGAAATTCTAGCTTTCCTTTTTATAACAACATTGTGTCGATGAAAGCATGCTTAGCCATTTGTCCAATGAGCTCCAGACTTCAGCCAAAAGTACCTACCTCTGTAGAGCTGACCTGAGAACCAAGTGCCACTGGAGGCAAAGTTTTTTTTTTTTCTGCAAAGTGTCACATGTTTGGCAGGGTTCATTATTCCCGATGTCTGCTGGGCTCTAGGAAGCCTACCTTATAGACAAAGGTGCACACAAAGTCAATGAAACCAACTTGAAGCTTGGGGAGCTCATCTGCCTTGTTTCTGTCCATCATAGGCTGTCATGGGAGAGAAAGAGTTAATGACATGGGACTCACCCAACCTAAGAAACATTCTTGCTTAAAAAAGAAAAGAAAAGAAAAAAAGAAATGGGAATGGTGGTACAAGCCTGTAATCACAAATTGAAAGTCATCCTAGATACAGAGTCTAAGGCCAACCTGTGATGTGGAAGGCTCTGTTTCAGTAGTAAAATAAAGTACTAAACTCACCAAGCTTCCGGATTGGACTAACAATTTGGAGAAAAGGTAGAATATAGAGGAGAACGTGTTCATGAGTGTACAGAGTGTAAGTGACCAAGCCAGAGTGTGGGAAATACTACACAAACAAACAGTTACTGTCTTTAACAATGCCTGGGGGTAGAAAGGGAGGGATGAGGAAGGGGAGAGAGAGAGGAGAGGGGAGGAAGAAAGGGAACCTAGGGTGACCTCCTGATACTTCCATGAGGCTTCAGGGTTGGATCCACACTGTTTGGATTCTGGTTTGGACAAATAAACGGAATTCTTTTTCTCCATCAGAGAAAATGAGCAGAGACTAGGAGTGAACTGGTTAAAGTATTACTGTTGATGTTGTAAGTGGGAAATGGTGGTGGCCCTAGCCATGGTTTTTTTTTTTTAAATCTGTTATCAAATCTTCTTTCTTAGCGATAAAATGTTCAGGAAGAAATGGCTGAGTCTGGGATTCACATAAAATACCACAGCCAAAAGAAAAAGGAAGGGAGCATGGAGCAGAATAGGTAAAACAAGAATGGCAAGTTTTGCTAATTGTTGACTCTGGCTAATGGTACAAAGAGATCACTAACTATTCAGTCAGCATTTTAAAATATTAAGAGAAACAAAGATGGCAGTGGTGCCGAGAGCAATGTGCATTATGACAGCTCACGAGGTTTCAGAGAATATTAGTAAGTGGCCTAGATACCGTTCTTAAGCTATTTTGACAAAGAAGGTGGCTGCTTTTTGCCTGGTCCTAAAAATCTGCCTGAGGCAAGGCAGGCGAAGAGAGGACAGAGGAGGGAAGATTACAAATGCTTGGGGCTCTCAGTGTCCCTTGCCACACTCTGCTCATGTGGCGACCCATGCACCCTTGGCTCCCTCACAGCTCAGTCCGGCTCCCACCAGTGGTTTGTCTTTTTTATTCATCCTCTCCAGGCCTTCTTCCTAACTCCACCCTTTGGGGACAGTTTCTAACTGTCAGAAGCCAGCTGACTGACCCGGCCAAGTCAGCTCTCAGTGGTAAGATAGGTTCCCAGATAGACAGGCTTCCCCTAGCTGGCCCTGTGCAACTAGAATGGAGCCAGGGTAAGTGGCCCCTGCACCTCTGTATTACTAGCAATCAGTTTGGTGTCCACTGATCAAGCTCTGCTTAGCTGGGGTAGCTAAGGACCAACATGCTGGCCACAAGGCTTTCAAGCTGCAGAGGGTGAGTGGTCGAGCATGTGTTTCTGGTCCCCATTCTGTTCTCAAGGAATGGGTCCAGGAACCATGTGCCACCTCAGAGAACCACTGTGCTAGTAAAAGACCACCCCAAGGTAAGGTCACTCAGCCCTGTGTCATCGGTCACATCCCTGGGTCGAGAAGAAACTGAACTTGATGACACCCCCCTCTACTCACAATGGGATTCTGCTGCAGCACCGTGCGCTCCAGGTCACCTTGTTCCCAGAACTCAGCAGCCACCAGCAGAGCTACCTGCAACAGATGAACCCGATCACATATGCAGAGGCCAAATCCTCTGACCCCAACTCCCACCTCACTTGAGTTTCAAGCTCAGCAAATGAGGAAAGCCCACCCCTTCCCTGGTACTGCCTCTTGCCTCTGGACTGAGACCAAGAGAGTGGAGTTGGGCTAAAAGGGTCCAGTCTCATTAACTATGGTCAGCAAGCGGGCGGTGGTGGCACACGCCTTTGATCCCAGCACTTGGGAGGCAGATCTCTGTGAGTTCAAGGCCAGCCTGGTCACAAGAGCTAGTTCCAGGACAGCCTCCAAAGCTACAGAGAAAGTCTGCCTCGAAAAACAAAGAAACAAAAAACAAATAAACAAACAATGGTTACCAATATTGAGCCCCTCTGCCAGGACAGAAAGTGTCCATACCTTGCTTTGCACCTCCCAGGGCTTGGTGATGGCTGAGAGGTCACAGGCTGTCATCATCATGGCCCTGCATATAGAATACTCTCCGTCAGTCCAAAGCCAAGCTACAAACACCAATGAATTCATTTTCCCTCACTTTCCTCTGCCCCATTCCTAGTAGGTAGCTTCACCATTGTGTGAAGCAAGGGCTCACTTACTCCCCTCATTGTATCCAGAGTTTCAAGTCAGAGGTTGAACCCTGCCTCTGTATATAATCAGAGGTTCACCATCAGGCTCACTTCTCTAAGCCTCTATTTTCTTGTCTTGAGTAATAGTGGTGCTTCCATCGTAGAATAGACACAAAACTAGATGAGATAATGAACTTGAGAGTCAGTCTGTAGGGCCCAGTTATGGTCTGGGGATCTATTGCCATTGAGATCAGGTCGGACCCTGCTCCAAGATACAGGCTATTATGTAAACTGATTTCTCAGACTGGGCCTTGTCCTGAATGACTCTATCCTACAGAAGAGACAGGAGGAGCTTGCACTTTGCTGGACACACAGCATCATTTCCCATCTAGCACCACTCATGATGCACAGATTGGTAGTTTATTACCAAATGTAAAAAGGGTATTAGGCTACAGAGATGGCCCAGTCACCAGAATGCTTGCCCTGCAAACATAAGGACCTGAGGTTTGGTCCCCAGCACCCACACACAAAGCCAGGAACAGTGAGATACCCCTGTAACCCAAGCCCTGGAGGCAAGGGACAGGGGAAACAGGAGTGTGATCCAGGACTTTTCTTTTATTATGAGTTCTGGGATCTGAACTCAGGTTTTTGTGCTTGCTCAATAAGCACTTTACTGTTGCCTGAGCTAACTCCTTAGCCTCATCGATAATTTTTATAACTAATTATCTGTATATCAGCTGGTCTAAAAGGCCACTTGGTTCACTCATAAAACATTAACAAGTTTAAATAAAATCTTTAATTATGTAATGTGATTTTTAGTGGGTGAGTCTTAAGTGGATAAGCTCTCAGAAATGCGTATATTTTGTAGAGATGCCTTAATGCTTTATAGTAACCTCGGAATGTGTGCCCTGTGTTTAATGTTAGGTGTGTGCACATGTGATGCTTCTTAGTAAACAGATCAGGCAAGTAAATGATTAGTTGTACATACAAGAGTCACCACCTCCTGGTACTTGTCATTGTCCCCAGGTTAAAACTACAGGTGTGGCTTCAGGAGAGTACAAGGTATTTGCTTTACTTGGCTGAAGTATCTCATGGAAACATTCTCCTAGAGGCTGGGGAAGCACACCCATGTGTTTTATAATCAGACTTGGGCTGGAAGAAGGCCATGTAGCCCCAGGATAGCCAATCCAAACCTCATGTCCTAAAGGTGGCGTTGCAGTGTGTGCGCCCCCCCTCCCTGCACCGATCCAGATGTGGCCTAGAGTCCCAGGTGCTGTGCGAGGCATGGAGTTAGAGAGGCCCAGGTGGAGCTCATGGTCACTGGAGGATCACAGAGAAAAGCAGTCACGTGGCAATATACTAAGTAAGACAATAGAGTCCAAGGCACCAAAGATGAGGAGGGGAGGGGAACACCTAAAAGTAATAGCATCTAGTCCTGCCTGGGCTATCTAAGATGCAATAGTAGAGCTGGGCCAAGGGGAGTGCAGAGTAGCTCTCTGGTATGGACCAATGCTGTGTTCCCTTAAATCCATGGGTTGAAGTCTTGACATCAATGTCACGGTATTAAAAAGTAGGGCCTTCAGCAAACAATGTTACGGGAGGTTATGATGGAGTCAGCTTGGTAAAGAAGGCAGAGGGAGCAGCTGGCACCAGACTCCTGCTAACCGGAAGCCTGGTGCATTCAGAAGGCTGGGGCATGGGAGGGAGAATCTCAGGGAACCCTTGGAAGCCTTGTTAAGAAAAGCCAAATTGATCTGGGCATGGTGGCGCACGCCTTTAATCCCAGCACTCTTGAGGCAGAGGCAGGAAAATTGCTTGAGTTAGAGGTTAGTCTGGTCTACCCCCAGGACATCCAGGGCTACACAAAGAAACCTGTCTCAGAGAGAGGACAGGAAGATTTGTTGTGAAGAGAGACACGGTCACAGAGGTTTAGATGTGGAGACCTGCACTAGGGAGCCCAGGAAGGAAACCATTGTGGGAATGGGCAGAAGGGGAAGAAATCAAGAAAATGCCCAGGGAGTAACGGCAGTTGAAAAGTCAACTCAACTTGAGGAAGAGGGAGGCATGGAGACGAGAAGGAACAAAGTGAAGGAGGCAGGAGGTGTGTATAAGAAGAGACAGGAAGATCTGAGGCTCGGGAACCCACACCTTAGCCTCTTGTACGACCAGTGTCTCCAAGGGGGGGGGTGGAGTTTAATGCTTCCATGCGGGGCTTGGAAATCAGCCCAGCAGCATCCTGGCCTTCATCTTTGCTTGACTTGCAATGGCCAGAACAAGACGCCTGATGTCTTCCAGCTGAGTGTGTAAACCTCAGCGTATGACAGTCATACCAGGTTAGAACCTGTGGAATTCTGGTCTTGTGGGTAGAAGGAATCCAGTCATTTCATGCGGTCATAACCTTCCTCCTGAGAGGTATCACGATGAGTACAAAGAATGGTTTTGTAAGAGCACCAATTGTCATCACTTGATCAAATTACCCTGCAGTAGGGCAGCTGCCCAGAGAGCTCGGCTCTTTCACCTGCCCCCCCCCCCAGAACTTAACTGTGGGGCCCGGAGGCCTTCCTTCCTCCTGCCCTCCGGCTGACTTGCAGGAGAAAGCATTCAGGGAGGCCTGAGAATGAATGAGTATTCAACAGCAGGCCTTTTCTCTTGGGTCACAATCCTGGGGTCACACAGCTTGTGTGTCACCAGGTAAGTCACTTTTCTGTGTACTCTCTTTTCTCCTTTGCTAAAACACTGGACCAAGAGCTGATAAGCTTTGTGCAAAGCCCAGGGCATGACTAGGTTTTGCCAAAGACACAGTCTCGATTTTATCTGCTCAGCTCCATCAGCCATGCGGCAGTAGCCAGACATTTAAGAAAGCTGGGTCAACTTCTCTATCTATTTGGCAGAATGCCAAAGGGCAACATATTTTTTGGAGGTTTATGAAAATATTTTAATTGTAATTGCTTTTGACAGAAGAAAGTCAGATGTGGTGATTCGGGCCTATAATCCCAACACTACGAGAGACTAGGGCAGGAGGATTGCTGTGACTTCCAGGCCAGCCTGGACTATAGAGAGAACCTCATAAATTAATCAATAAAGCCAGAATTAAAAAGAAATGATAACAAAATTCCCAATATTATCTTTCTATCAATAAAGTCATAAAACATAATTTCTATTTATTTGTTAACTAACTTATTGATTGATTTTTATGGAGGAAGGTGCCATAAAGGCAAAATAACCCACAGCCCATAAAGTCAGAGTGTGTCTTTCTCTAGATGGATCAAATTTTATTTATGGACATGACACTTTAATTTTTTCTTTGTTGTGAAATGTTTAAAAAAATTTCCCCCAACCACTAAAACCCATAATTAGTTCCAGGCTTGGTGGCACATGCCTTTAATCCCTGGGAAGTATTGAATGACAAATCTCTGTGAGTTCAAGGCCAGCCTGATCTACAGAGTGACTACATAGCCAGAGCTATGTAGAGAGACCATCACAAAAAATAATAATAATTAGCTATTCTTAGCTCAGAAGTCCTATGAAATCAGGTAGGAAACCATACACCCTAGCCCAAGGATGCTGAGGGCATCCAACTCCTGGTTGGGTCATAATCAATCAAGAATGACAGCTGAATTAAGAGACAGAAAGGGCTTGACAAGGAGTGGGAAGTCACACCCTTGCTCAAGAGTTGGAGAGACATCCTGACCTTAGATTAAATAAGTCGGGCAACACAAGAAAGAGCCAGACGGTTCTCTGACACAGCGGTGTGGCTCAGGACACAGCAAGGGGTCTAGTGTGGGTCTCAGACCACAGGAAGCTCACAATATGAGTGCCTCCAAGACAATCAAAGGACCGGAAGACAGTGTTTTCTTTAGGTTGAACTCAAACTCTACAGATGGAGGGAGCTTGTAAATAAGGGTCAATGGAGCCTTAGAGATGGTAGCCAGAGAAATAAAGGTCCGGGTCCTGGAACAAAATCTTATAGCTGCAGCTGCAGGGTGGTGGCAGTTAGAAGACGTCTACAGTACCTGAGCTTTGGGGAAAGAAAGTACAGCAACCTCCCGTGGTGCAGAGGAGCTGTAGGTAGCTCTGTAATAAAGATCGTGTGTAGACGTGCTTGTGGTTTCTCAGATGGCTGGGATGCTGAGCGGAACGTGAGACACACTGGTGGCTTTTGCCTCCTGTGCTTCAGAGACAAGGTTCCACCACACGTTTCAGAAGGTAAAGTCTGGGTTATCTGTTTGTTTTTGCTGGTTTGCCCTAAACTGTTAGCCAAATAGTATCTTATCTCTCCTCTCCACCTCTCATCCCATCCCCCAAGCCCCACCCCACCGCCTTCTAACTAACTTTAGGACATCTCAAAATTTTCCTTTCTCACAATTCTGGTCAGTGCTAACACTTGCCGCCTGGAGTTAGCTCTGACTCCGCCAGCTTAAGAGTTGGACCTCATAGATAGCTCTCACTTCAGAAACCGAATGGATGTCATGCCCTGCACTAGCTACTGTTCTGTCTGATTTAGCTTTAACCAGATTATGGCAGCACCCACAATCTCCCATCAGGGAAGCACTTTGCTTACAATAGCTGTGTATCATACAACTGAGAAACAGATGAAGGAGACGCATGGGAGGGCTGGGAGTAGAAAGGTCTCTTAGGCCATACAAGATCCAGAAGGTCTCCGAACGCCCATGCTTAAACAATGTTATGAAGGTTGATGAATTAAACCATGAGTCACTGGTAATTAACTTGATCCAAGCCTTCCCCACCTCCCTCAAGGGTAGAAATGACAGCCTCATTTCTAAAATGGACTGAAAGATGAAAGTCACAAGCCCCTTATAACAGGTCTCTCTGATAAACAACCCCCATTCTGAAACCGTCTAGGCTTCTGCCAAGAGTTACCTCATTAGAACAAAGGTAC